CGCGGGGCGAGGGCCCAAGGAGCCCAGTCCAACAGCGACCCAGGCCACTGCCACCCCCTGCGGGGCCAATCCTGCAGACAATCCATCCGGTAAGCAAGGCAAGTCCAGGTCAAACGCGCGGAAGGCAGTGATAGTCCCGCGCCAATGTAATGCCGTACTGGCCACCGTCAATCAGTCTCCGAAATCCGCGACATCTGTCGACCCAGACACCAAGGCCGCGGTAACCGCGCTGTTTCCGGTCTCAGTAGTCGAAGGTCCCAGCTGGCTACTGGACCCAGCTCCGCTTCGTCCCTCACCCTCCTTATTTCCGCACGATTGGTTTTTGTAAGTCACCGCCCGATTGCATATTCTGTCATGGACCTGTTCAGGGACGGGCCAGCGCTATCTTGATAAAATTCGCTGGAAGTGAAAGGGTCGGTGGTTGGTTTTCCTGTTGTCCTCGTTCCCCTGTCTACCTTGGGTCGTCGGCATTGAATTTTACGTGCATCGGTATGCGACCCAAAATTACAAGAATCTCTGCTCGTTGCCGGAAGACCCAGACCTGCGGCTTTTAAAGATTAGTTTCGTGTGGCTGCCTGTTGGCCCGTAATTGGACTAAACTAAAGTGGTGTCTGGGCTTGCCATCGCTGTGGACAAAACTTCCTCAACAGCTTGCGTGCGGTGTTGAAAAAAAATGATCGCGGGAACGGCTAGTTGATTGAGTTCGTGGAGCATATGCGCACGATATGTGTTTGCGCAAACCTCCATTTTGGGAAAGTCCACTGGACAGGCACTCGTGGCCAGTCCCGTTGGAATTGCCCCAGTTTGTTGACGGGCCTCACGACTGACTTGGTGCACGCCCGCACGCCCTGTTCAGTGTGCACTGCAGTGAACCCTATGTCGTGCCCGGGTCGTGCCGAGAGGTAGCCTCGCAACGTACATTCGCTGATAAGAGCTTTTGCTATCCACAGAATAATTATTGCAACTGCTGTGATTAACGTTTTCAGTAAGTAGTTTTTAGTAGCAATTTATTGCAGTACAATAAATTGAAAAAGTGAAAAGAGAAGTGTTGATAGTATACCGTCAACTTTCGTTTATAACTTAAATCAGTCGAAAGCCTGTTTCGTGTTCGGTGATGCTACTTCCTTGCGCTTCGTGAATCACATGAACCGGACGGTATTGGGAACACTAGTGAATGAGTGTTTGTTTATCGTATTTGCGACTCCAATCCCTTCCGCAGTATAGTTACACCCAAACCGGACATCCCTGGCCGTCTCTCACGGGTCTTGTTTAGAGCAGAATTCCGAGCACCGTCTGCTCAGACTCATTCAGCACTGTGGCCGTAGTCTCGCCGATCTGTTCTACAAATATTCATCGGCTGGTCCTGGCCATGGTTCTACCGATCTTTCCACCAACATTCGTCGGTCAGTCCTCGTCGCATCGTCCTGCGATGAGTCGGCCTTCTGAACGGGAAACACCGGCTCTGTACCGGCGGCGGGCGCGACCACCGAGGACCGTCAGCTCCAGTTTTCCCCGTCGGACGGTCCGTTAGCGGCACACCCCGACACGGACATAACCCTTCCCCTCCGTCTTCGCTGGCGCCGATACCGGTACTGTGTTGTCAGCTGTGTTTTAGATATTCTGTCTCGCTGTTCTATGCCGTGCTGCCGGTACTTGTGCGTGTACTGGTACCGGTGCGGTGCTGCAGCCACTCGGTCTTGGTTCGGGCCGGACGTGCGTAGGCGTGCGGCCTTTGCACGGCTGCGTGCAGGCTCACGCATTTGTGATTAACTGCCGACGGCTCATAAGAGCGGGCTGCGGCGCTGTCACTCCGCCGCACCGTCGCCACGTCGGCAGCGGGCCGACCTGCCAGCAGGGTAGGGGACGGGGTTGACCTCTGCCGGTGGTGACGGACGCCCGGCGCGGCTGTTTTGCCTGCGGCGTCCGCGCGGCGGCCGTGTTGGTGTTGGTGCAGCCCGGCCAGCTGGCACTGGGTCACTGGCGCTCGCGGGCCCGGTCGCCGTGGCCTGGAGCCGCTGGGCAGGGGGCCAGCTGGCCGACACGGCCAATACGCCCGCTCCGACGGCCTAGATCCAGCCACGCCGAGCCACCCGAGACCTGCGGCAGGTGCCCTGCGACCGCTCGGTTATCGCTCGGTGGGCGAGTCGACCTCACAGGGCGCCCGGCCCCGACCCGCCGCCGTGTCTCGGTCATGTTAGTAGGGTGGGAACCGGGCGTCTTCTCATCGTCTTTGGTTCAGCGAGCGGTGTGGCACACGGATGCTGGAGCTGACCACGGCGGCTTGATGGTTGAGAGTCGATGTTTCGTCGTCTCGCTGACCGCTGCGCTGACCGCTGATTGCTGAGGTCAGCGTACCTACTCTCGTGGTCAGCGGTCAGTCGTGACTCCTATCCCCTCTCCAGTCCCGGTCAGAGTCATGACTCGGACCAGCCGCGGTGGACAGAGGGTGGGTCAACGGCCATCCACCGCGACACAGACCAAAACCACTGGCGACATACGGAATCCACCAAACCTCAGGCGGTGTATGGGTACAATTTTGCGGTTTTGGTACCGTATCGATACAGCAGGCTTATGATAACCGACAGGGTCGTAAGCTTCCGTCTTTGCTGTCGACGTGGCGGTACCTGCGCCTGTTAAGCTGCCGTAGCGTGGTGTTTCTGCTATTTGTTAACTAGTGCGACCATCCACAAGTGATCGACACAGGTAAGAGGCCGTCACAAACTCACGTTTCAGTGATAACCAGAGTCCCAGACGCGGCCTATCGCGAACGCGGTGGCCCGGCACTGTGGCTCACTCCAGCCACAGTCACATTCACTGCCGCGAGTCAGAATGGTGGATGGCGATCTGAACCTGCACTGCATACTGATGTCGAGACAAAGTTACTGCGAACATGTGATGGAAAATACGGGGTACGGGTGGTTAGGCACGAAGGCCGCCCGCGATTTTAGGACGGGTGAGAAGTGAGCCTAAAGAATGGAGCGAGAATGGATGCGAGAGCACGTTGCCGGAACATGGCTAGGCTTTTGGGCTTCGGAGATCAGTCAGGCACGGAGCTAGGAGTTCAAGTGATTCGAGTCATAACACTATTCAGGCTCATGTGGTGACTGATGCTGCTAGATGGTTACATATTCTTGTTGGCATCCATGGCTAGAATTTATAGTTTTATATGAGTGAATGCATTGATCTCTAGTCCTAATTATTTTCACCAGTTTGATGCAATCCAATTACTCCACCGACCACAGGTCAGCTCCTATGTTGTAAACTCCCGGTGACCATTTCGGGCACCGGTTGCTGACCAGTGTTGATCAACTCTGTCCAGTTGTGGCCTCCCGCGTGGCCAGCCGTGCCGGCTGTGTTTACAGTGGACCGGTTCGTGTCACACCCAGTGCTGCCGTGGCTGTCAGTGCCCCCTGCCAGTCCCGGCTCCAGTCCGTCTGTTCGGGTGGCACCGCTGTGAACTGATTATTACGTGTCGCGGTGGCCTGTCGCCACACCACGCCCTGTGTTCACGCTACGACCAACTGTCGATTTGTCCGTGATAACATTACTGGCACGCGCGCCTCAGTCCCCGTGCAAGCATCGGGCAAATTTTTCCAGATACCAACCTAGCCCATCGCCCGATTTCCTTGGCACTGGCCAAGGACGTAGGTTCTGGCCGGTGAACAGGCACATGTATATGCAATTTCGCATAATTTTTACGTCGACCATGGGCGCGCTATGGTAATAAACGTGTTCGAGGCATCTTCTCGCCTGCAATAACTCGTCAGGCAGCGGTCGGCACCGTGAAAAAGTCCGGTTACGTGCCTAGTACCGGCTAATGCTAGCCTGTCCTCGACTGGCGCTCACAAGACGTTCACTTTATTCACTGTCGCTTGCATGGTACAGTCGCTGTTCGATTTACCGCTATGATAGGGTTACTAGACATCAGTCATAGACACTGTTTGACGTGCATGTCTTGCCTGCCAATCCCTAATTCCGTGACTTGTTTTTGTTCCCGTTTTTCCGTGGTCCTTTGAAGAACCGTGGTAGGCATGGTGATGTCGACAATTGCTGTCTCTATTCCATAGCTTATCGCTGGTTGCTTTGTGGTTGCAATGCCAAAATTTGTTTATGTCCGCAAAATTTATTTATTATTTCGGCAAGCTCTTTGTTTTGCACGACATTGCGATAGCTTAGTACAGGAAGCTGTCTATCCGTCTTGTAGTTGGTGGGGTCAATCGCCTCTCATCGCATTTGGTTCTGCAGCTGTGCCGGCTTTCCGCATCTCCCGTCTGTGTGAGATATGTAGCCATGTCTCCCATCTCTATCAACTTTCCGTCTGTGTTACCCAGCCTCCTCCCGTCGATACGTGGGCTCATGGGGTCTCCGTCTGTAAGTCCACCGTGCCCCTGTCTCTTGCTACTCGGTATTGCATTCTGTCTCTGTGGACCACTAGTTTCTGCTTGAACCTGTCGTGTCTCTTTTTCCGTGAGCCCCTCCGGTCAGCCTTCTTTGTGAGCCTACCTAACCTCCCGTCCCTGTGGACCTACCGTATCACCATGGGTCGTCCGGCCGCCAGTAGCGCTGTCCAACAGCAGTGTCGATGACATGCCGAGCCACCGTGCGGTCTCTCCGGGCCCGTCGGGGGTCTTTTTGTCGGCCCGAGGTCCGGTCTCTGAGAGCCGACGCTGTATGTTTTGTCCCCAGTCCGGTTAGGACGGAATGGATGGTTGGTCGGTGACGGCGTCTGACAGTGACCTCTGAGCGTGTTGTGGTTGTATGACGGGATGTGTGATAATTACTGATGCGTGATGTGATCAGATGACGTTTGCTTATGACGATGGGCTTCTCATGGATCGTTATGTCAGGTCGTTCAGTCGCTCACTCTGGCACTGCGTTGACACTCCCTTTTTGTGTATACGAGCGCTCTTCTGTCTTTTTGCAGAATACTCCGCCCCTCTATCGGCCTTCCTCCGTGCGTTGTATGAGCTCTCTGTGACCACCTCCCTCTCTGTCGGCAGGCTAACACCTCGATCAGCTCATCACCTACCCGGCGAGTCGGGTGACCTAGCATCAGAAGCATCCACCCCGGGGGAGGCGGGCCGCGCGCCTCCCTCCGACCAGGCCAGAGGTCAGTGTACCCCTCTCTCCCTCTCTCGGACGTGCTGCATGTGACCGGTGACGTGACGCTCTCGGACGGCGGTGTCACTGTGACGTGTCACGATCGGCACGCAGCCAGCCACATGACCGGTGGACAGTGGCCGAAGAGCTGCCATCGGTCACTCTCAGCCCTGACGCGAGCCAGGCGGCGCCGCTGTGCGCTTCCCTCTGTCCGCTGTCCTCTGTCCTATGTCTGCTGCGCTGTCGGTTGTCCGCTGTCCGCTTTCGGGTGACACGAGTCGTGTGTCCGTCCGCCAAAACTGAGCTGATCGTCGACCGACCGTCGCACCACACAGTCGCTGTCAGACCGGCTCAAGGGACGTTTTTATCGCGCGACTCTACTAAAATAACCGGTTATACGTCGGCCGACCTCCATTTTTATGCTGTCCTTCGTCGACCGGTCAGTGGCCAGGTTTTAGGAGTATAATCTCGCCGAGAATTGATACCGGGTCTCCATTGAGGCCGTCCGATAAAGACGCGACCGGCTTCGGTCGCTGGAATTTGTCCGACTTGTGAGATAGTCGCGGTGTTGCCGCGGGCTAATTGCATACTTGATCTTAATTAGTGTGAGAGAACCAGTTTGGTGCAGATCGTGCAGCTCGGAATCTCGCGGCGTGGTCGGTCGGGCCGCCTCGACACGGGCTTGGGGAGTCTGTCCGAGGTAGCACGGTCCTAGGGACCCGGCGCTAGGGATCCCGTCGTAGGGAATATCGAAAGGGCATGGTGAATGTCTTTGGGTGGCATTACCAACGTATCTGGGAGCCGCTGCAGCGCACTACAGTATAATCCCATACTGCGAATTCTGACATTTGTGAGCCTACCCGTTGCAGCGGGCAGCTCTTAGACCGCCTATACGCCAGGACTGGTAGAGCAGCAACCTCTGAACACCGCTTCGACCGTAATCGCTCGCTCTCCGCGCTCAGTGCGCACGCGGTCCGCCCGAGCGTGACGAACCGGGCGTGGCTGGCTGCTCGCTCTGACGCGCGCCGCTCAATCCCGGATCTCCGCCGGACGCCGACAGCACTAGCAGCAAATGTCACGTCACCGAACCGAACCATTGTCGAGTGGTGACCATGGGGACGGGTCACCCCCGGGAGGGGAGGGGAGGGGGCGGAACAGGAACCGGGAGCGGACAGAGCCAGTCGAGGACGTGCATGGTCGCTTGCAGAGGAGGCTGGATGGTAGATGCGGGCGAAATTCTGCGCTGTTTTGGTGATGCTGCGTAGCGCCTCGGGACTGGTTAGACTTTGCCAGAGTAGTCTGACCAGCTCAGTACTCAGCGTAGATCCGTAGCTCGAAATGGAGGCTGATCCGTAATTACTGAATACTGGTTACTGGCAAGTCCGGCGCCAAATGGGGCAGGCAGACTGGCCGTGTTTGCACTAGCCCACCATTCGAGTCGAGGCTTCGAGCCAACCGAGCGGCGTATCGAGCCGGTCGAGTGGTGCACCGGGCCAGATCGGGTGGCCGGTACCGGCGCCATGCGAAGCGCGCTCGGCGGCCGCCGCGTCATCGGATACCGGTCAGCTGACCGCTGCTGCATAGCCACAGTCCGCACACTGCGCTCCGTACCCCGGTGACGGATTGCGGCGGTCGGTGTGGCGCAGCTCTGCGCAGATCGGAGATCCATCTGAGGTTTGCTCGGCTCTGTACGGCGAACGATCACCATATCACCAAGCGGTGAGGGTCCACGGGCTATCACTAGAGCCTGGGTGGCCTTCGGCGATCGGACAGGAGATGCAAAAGCCGAGGTCGGTCAGTGACCAGAGCCGCGCAGTGGAGGGGGGGGGAGGGGTGTCAGCGCGAGGTCGGCCAGCCCGGCGCCGCTGGCAGCGCCGTGCGTGCATACTGTTCCTGGAACGCTGCCGTCCCTCTGAGGGAGGCGGGGAGATTGGCAGATGCGGGTGTGTTTGTTATGAAAACGCAGTGGTTTGTTATTGTTGCTCAGTGAGGTGAGAGCATGAGCGAAGCCTGGGACCTTCTGAGCCCGCAGCTGCTGAGATCTGGGACGGGATGTGTGTATGTTTCAGTAGGGTGCACGCTGGCCTCTTGTGCCATGTCGGGTGTCTCAGAGGGATGAACTCCATGGTCCGGAAATGTACGATAGATACCCTATGACTCAGGAGCCCCACTGACTCGTAGAGTTCTTTATTTATAAACTGACACTGTGACCCATCGTCGACGGGTCAATCTCACGAGGCGTCCAGTTCTGTGTATTGCAGTCAGCCGAGCGGCACGTGTTTTGCTGTGTGTTCATCGTGTGGCTTGCCCGGGCGGCTCGCTCCAGTCATCTGTTTTACCAAAGCACATCCGCAGCTGCCTCATCTAGCTGGGTGTGTTGCCAGGCGGCGAGTTACGCCATATTTCACGCTGGATGTGGCTGAGTAGTGCTATAGTTCGTCTCATTTAACGGGCGGACGGATGGCGCCCCATTCAACATCGCCGCTCGACTGACGGCAATAGCTGCGCCGTGCTGGTGGGCTGTGACCTGGCCTCCGTCGTGCTATGTGTATCCGTGTTTCGTGTTGGTTTTGTCTCGTTCTCACCACGTTTTTGTGTGTCCCTCAGGTGACGGAGCGGGCATTGTGACCGATCTGGAGACTACCTCGGAGGCTGGCCTGCCGGGCCACTCACGGAACTCGAGCAGCCAGTCGGGGTACGGAAGCCTGGCCTCGCAGCCGTCACATAGCCGGCAGAGCAGCGGCTCCGAGCTTGGACACCTCAGGTATGGAAAACTCCCTCCCCCCCCCCCCCCCCCCCCCCCTCCTACACATCTCCAAATTCGCTCCCGTCACGGCTCTCCTATGGCGCCTCCCCCACAGCGCATTATCGCGCCTGACACTTCCTAGTGACTTGTTAGATTGCGGGTCGTGATAATCCGGTTATAATGGTCAAATCCATCAAATGTCGGGCGTCTAATAATCTGTCACAAACCGCTGGCCTATCGTCACTCTATCGCGTTCGGCAGCCTGTCGCTGTTCTAATGCCGCCGCTGCGGCCTACACCGGTGCTCGACGCCCGCCTTCGTTAGCCATGTGAATGTCAGGGCCCGGCTGTCCCCGTCACCGGTCGATAGGTCACCAGGATAGGTCACCGGGCTGGTGACGTCCGGTGCCCCGCGGCTCACCGTCTGTGCTGACGGCGCTGATGACGGCGCTGACGGTGTCCGATGACGGACCGGGAACGCTGACTGCGCCGCCGGTCCGTGGGAGCGCCCGCCGGCTGTCTGTGGCTGCCACGTCAGATCTGTCGGTCGGGCCCATCCGGCGGCCCCGAAATAGCCACCGGCCGACGGCCCACCCCCACTCCACGACCGCCCACACTTGTGACGCGGCTGGGAACCCGGCGGCCTACGCCGCACCTCGGGAGCAGTAGGGGGTAGGCCCGATATACAGGGACCCACGTCGTGTCCCCTGGTCCTAAAGACAGCGACCCACGCCACACCCAGGGGACAGTGGGGACAGGCCCGAAATACAGGGACCCACGTCCCTCCCCGGGGACAGACCCTAAACACAGCGATGCACGCCCCAGTTGGGGGCTGTTTGTGTGCTCCGCTGGGTAGTGACAGCATTATGGGACGTGTGCGTCCGGACTTGCGCAACCTGTCGACGAAAATAGGAATGTATGGCATGTTGTGCGACCCTGGTCAAATGTCAATGAAGGTTTATTTTCGTCCTGTTAGAAGCTACACAAAACACTGTATATTGTTTTTACGATGAACTTCATGCGAGTATATCCGTAGAGATACGAGCGTGTAGCTCCTAAAATACCCCCACGACTATCGCACAAAGATACCCACCGAGCGTCTGTGAAGCGACCCTTCCCGCACACAACCCTGGCGTTTGCCGGACGGCGTTAGTTCAAGGCTGTCTCGTTACACGATGGAGGGGCCACATGTGGCGTGTCGGCTGCAGTTAGACCTTTGAAGCAACTGGTGGGTGGGGACCTTTAATGGCGCGGCAGACGGAGCCGGGGCCATGGAGCTGTGATGCTCAGTAAGCCATGCGAGCGTGGGGTAGCGAGCGGGCGGCCGCACAGGAAGCTCTGGGTACCTAGTCCTGTGAAGTGGGGCTGGCTCATGGTTAGCATTTTGACCCCTTGTGTTTACGTAACAAATCCGAATTACCAACGCTAATGTCGGTTTGATTGTGTATTCATGGAGTCGCGAAGCACCACTAGTTTTATTCCGGCCCTGAGATGGAGTCCTGCTACTATCACGCCAGGGAGTGCGGCACTATGTTATTCAGAGGTATTAAGCATAGGATCAGCGTGTCGTTCCCCAGTGCTGACTCGAAGTCGGGGCTACGCGCTTCCATTAGCACTCGGTTCTTACTGCTTAAGTTGCTATTTAATCGCAGGCATTGCGCAGTGCGCACGTAGCGAATACGCTTAATTGTGAAGCATCAGGCTTTCTTTAAGTGTCAGCCGCCAGGTCGCCCTGTTGCTGACCGGTCGCTGTTCAGCTCATGAATCTAAGGGGTGGACTGTCCGCGACGCGACGACACTCCCCGTGACCTCAATTACCCGCGGCGTGGCCGATTGACCAATCTCCAGTGATATGGCACCCAGACACAGGGCGCGCTTCACATTGTCGAACGTGACAGCGGCTCAGGTGCTCAGGACATTCGTCCGAGCCGATCTCAGAGTGGTGACTGTCAGGGTAGAACGATAACAGTTGCTGCGAGAGATTTAGCCAACCGGCGTCACATATTATGTAAGCACGCAGCGCTGATTGGTAAGCCTTGAATCGCTCGTACGTGGTAGAGCTTAGACACAAGCTTTTGACTTAGTAACTGGACGATCAAAAATGCAGCAGTAGTTGAGACGGATAACTTGCATACCTGCCATAGCGCAAGCTTGATAGATTCCCAAACGCTTCGTAAAGAGCGGCAGCGCCATCTTTTCCCGGTTCGGCTGGCCACCAACACCCAGCTTCCAGCCGTTTCAGTCTCACCAACACACCACCCCTAACCGTCTTCATCCTTTCGACAGGAATGTCCACCTGACTGCCCACTCTATTCCCTTCAGGAACGCCAGTAGCGGCTCGGCATTCTCCGACTACAACTCGATGGAGCGGCCGGCGACCAGCGAGCGGCGCAAGAAAGAGGCGGCGGCCAGCTGCCGGTTCGACGCGACCCGGGTCAACCCAGAGGACGTCATTAACGACCTGCTACAGAACACCGACCTCAACTCGGACCACGCAGAGGGTGAGCTGTGGGAAGGGGACGCTGACCCAGGGGGCTGGGCACATGCCTGGGGGGGGGGGGACGAAACACCGACCTCAACTCGGACCACGCAGAGGGTGAGCTGGGGAAGGGGACGCTGACCCAGGGGGCTGGACACCTGCCTTGGGGGTTTGTCACCGACCTCAACTCGGACCACGCAGAGGATGAGTGCTGGGGGAAGGGTGGGAAGGTCAGGAAATGGTACGCCGACCTGGCGGATAGACACTAACCTCAGAGACTAAACACCGACGTAGGGGGCTACATACTGACCCCAGCAGTCACGCCTACACCTTGAAGAGATATATCAACCTCTACTCGGGCCACCTTGAAGTTGAATTACGAGGGAGAGCCGCAAGAAAGGGTAGATAACTGCGACATCCAATCGATAGGACCCATTACCGACTTTAGGGGCATTGCACTGACCAAAAAACGAGACGAGCTGCGCAATGGCGTCGATATCATTTCAAATAACGAAGTCGCATAATTGAATATGGTATTTTTAGCGATAGTGTTGGAATGAGGTCGCAGCGTACTGCGTAGTATGTTTTCCACATTATGCGAGCATCCTTGGCAACACATCTTACGCGACTGCAACTGCATATTTTCACTGAATAGTAGCTCTGCGATATGCGATTTCGGCCTTGCGGGATCCCCGAGGCGAGCCTGAATTGATGAACCCTACATCAGCATATGTAAACCAATCCTAATCAGAGACAGGTGGTGCTTTCGTGTCCCGACGTTGTCCTCATTGTGGCGTATTGTCGTTGGTCTGCCGCCTACCAAACAAGATGTATTTGTCAACTTGTCCTCGTGTTACCAACTGTTGCAATCCCTGCATGAACTCCGGCTGGAGACTCACTGCGCTGTGACCTGAGAGTCGCTCGTAAACCCGTGATTTGGGTCGCCGACGGGATGGGGACCGCGCAGCGCTGCCTACTATATCACCCACCGCCAATCTTCCACGAACATTGGATGCTGCCAGGCATGAGCTGGGGACATAGGACGCCCTGGGACGGGAGATTGTCAGGCTCTGGCACGTGGGACGCTCTCACGCCTGTCCATGTGGCTCTCTTGGTGACTGTTTTATGGACCATTGACCTTATCACGGCGCCGTGGTGACAGAGTGAATCAGCCACCCAGCTGGTTTCGGATAGAGGCGACGGCCACCCAAAGTGCTCGCGTGTGGCAATAGATTAGGGCTGCCCCGTCCCCTGTTATCGCTCGGTGCATGCCTAGTGCGTGGGTGGGGTGCTGGCAGATTTATTGATGCCTAAACTGCATTATGACTCTTGGATATTTGCCGTGTCCGGTTATAAATACGGCGTAAACCCATGCGATTTCCGTCTGTTCCGTTCGGATCGTGTGTTCACCCCGCCGTGTTCCCAGCGTGTCCGTCGACGATTGCCGTTTCTGACGCTTGCTCGTCTGTCTGTGCGCAGTCCTGTCCGCCCTATACTGTGTGTGTATCGTACTATCCACTGACTGTTACGACTGTCGTTTCTAACGTTTATCCGTCTGTCTCTTTACAGCGTCATCCGGCCTGCAGCTGTTCGTGGCGCGGGACGGCAGCACCACGCTCAGCTAGGGACGCCGGTGTCACCCGTTGTCAGAGCCCATCTAGTCGTGTACGGCGCGCCGGCCGGCCGTGGCCAGTGAGAAGACAGGGGCAGCTGCGGCTCCGCCCGGTGGTGGGTGGGTGAGGACGGGTCGGTGATCGTCCTTACCACCGCCGGGGTGGAGTCGAACCGCCAGCGAGACGCCGCGGGCTCGGGAAGACACGCCGGACCGCTCATCGTAGTATATTGGCATATATCATCACAAGATCACACATCATATCGGGTCCAGCCTGACGCACGTCATACATCTTGGCGTCCTGGACAAAGCGTCACCCGCGTGCTCGCGCGATGGCGGTGACGTGAAAGCGCGTCACACCCTCCCCGGCGGACGCTCGGCGCGCGTCTCGCAATCCTGCCCCGTCTTCGAGACGATAGTTTTCCATTTTGCTGCTCTTGTCTACGCTATTTTATCCGTTTATCAATGGCATTTGTCCGTGCTTAGTGTGCCTGCGAGGCCTGTGTACAGATTCGAGGCATTTACACGCATTACGGTGGGGCCATCGGTGCACGCGCCCGACGCATCGTCTAGCGCCTGCCATCAGTGGTTACTGTCGCTTCCGAATGTCAACTCCGTGCCAAAGACGGTGAGTATGCAGTGTACGCGGATTGCGCCGCTTCGTGCCGACTGTCTCGTCGTACCGTCTCGCCCCCAATTGTTGTGTATATATCACACATGTCGCGTGCTGCCGTACAATATACTCGCACGCGCGACAGACTCCAGTGTCTGACCGGCTGGTGCTGCAGAGGAGACGACTGGACAGCGGCGGGCGGGGTCACAGGTGTCGGGAGAGCCTACTGCAATGTCGCGTACTCCGTCGTGAAATCGTAGTTGGTCTGCCAATGGATAGACACGATTAGAAACATGCACAATTCGCTGAAGGAAATTATTTTTGGTGTGTTTGACGACACCCTAACTCCTGAATATAAAAGTCGCCAGCAAATATGGGACGAGATCTAGTCGACCCTAGTCTACAAACGCCAATCGGATAGGAGATCCAACAATGTCTCGAAGCCCTTACACTGCCAACCCTTTCAGAGGAAAAGGGCAAGGCGGCGTGTTCCTAGGTAACGTGCCATAGAACATCCACCTGCAACCTCAACATTTAAAGCCTGTCGGGGGGGGGGGGGGAATTCCATACGGTTTCATTCAATCAGAGTTTGATCATTTTAATATTGACAATCCCACTGATATGTAAATAAATATTGATAAATGAACAGTTTCCTTATCTCGTTTCCAGCATGAAAGAGGTTACCGATAGACGGCGAATATCTAGATGGGGCGAGAAGCTTGAATGCGGACTTGAAGGTCAACTGAGTAGAGAAAAAAGTGAAGCAATGCACCATCGCACCACAGTCATTATGTCTTTTTTCGAAGGGACGATAATACCCTGAGGAATTAACGATATCTGAAACAATGTAAATTGTAATGCAACTGACGTAACCACGGTAAATAGGCACTGGAAACTTGGCTCGCCAGCCACTCACCAGGTTTTCCAGCTCTTCCAGTGTCATTGAGCTGGTGTTCAAAGTGAAGTGTTTTAACTCCTTGGACTTGCTCAGCTTGGGGTTGATCACAAAGGGAACTCCCTCAATGCCTGACACAGACAGCAAACATATTATTTCATGACGGTTGTAGAAATCATTCTATCGAAGCACCGAATACTAAAATGACGACCAATAAATTGTGCATGGCAAACACTTCAAATATTAAAAACGATATCTAGCAATCGAAATGGTTGCAAGGTATGTTCTTTGTTAATCTTTTTCATAACGAGTTTCGAGCAGTTATTACTCAATGAAAATATTACCTTTTAACACCCAAACTTGGGCCACAAAGTGAACACAGACATCAAAGTAGCAGTGCTAAGCTGACCTCCCTGCATCTGTCAGAAACTGCACCGCCCTAAGTTGACCCGCACGAGATTATACCGCCCGTCAGAGGCACTGACCTCCGTGCGCCTGAGTGAGTGTATCCGTGGTGCTGGGCGTCGCCAGACCGTTACTGCTGCTGCCGGGGGACGGCCTGGGGAACGAGTCAGGGTCGGTTAGTTACTGCCGCACTAGTAAGGCCGGGAGGTGACCGGCTCGGAAATGAATGATGACTAAGTAAAAGTCAACGAGGCAGCGCCAGCAATGGAGCGAGAAGTGATTAAGTGGACTTTTTAGAAGGAACGTTAATTTTGGCATTTTAAGCGACAAACTTCATCCTACAATACGAATACTGAACGGAAAACAAGGTGGTATACTGTCCAACTTATTCCCTCGCGGAGGTACGATTACCGGATAGCGCAGACCCAAACCCGTGTGCAGGGGGCCTGCGTACCCCAGCTGATGTCACAGCAACCACGGCTGACACTGCTGTCGTACTCACGTGTATGGCAGGGGCGGCGCCGGGGCCGAGCGTCGCGGTGTCCGCGCCTTGGTGCCGTATTTGCAGCATACGGTGAGGCCGTTCAGCTCCCTGTGAACACAAAAGGACATCGTTAGCTCCCAGCTGTGAACACAACGCACGGCTGGCCCGTTCAGCTAAGGGAACAATGTGAGCTAAGGGGCTCCGCAACAAGCTTCGCTTAGCGGTGGCTCTATCCTTGTGAATCCTTCCTATCAAACGGTTCGGACTTAATTTATATAAATACAAAAGTTTAGTGAATGAGCAAGTTCAAGAGCCGTCCTCAGTTGGTACCGTACAAGGACCCCAGGCTGAAGCCTGTAGGGACCGCCATCTACCCGGGCAGTGAAAATCCCACGGAGTTGGACAACGCCACCTACCAGAGCGCTGACAATCCCTGGGCTAGGAGCGAGTGAAGACCATAACAGACCCGGGCAGGGATGATCTCCTGGAGTCAAGTTGCCCCAATCTCAGGCCAACTTTGCAAACATAGCCCGGAGAAGGACCGCTCCGGTTGTTTTTCAATAGAAAAACACAATTCTAACGAATAGTGTTTGTCTTTTCAAACAACCTGCGGTTAGTCTGGTCGGAGTCGGTCGGATAGTCTGGTTTGGGTTAGACGTGTTTGACAGTGTTCCGTGATTTGGTGTATTTTACCTAAGATAGGATGTGTCATGCGGTAAAAATATGTACCGTATGTTCGTAATTTAACGTAGATCATTCAGATACTTTCTGCTAATTAAAACTGTGAGCGGTTGGATAGTTATAAGCAGTTAAAAATGTAATATTTTGCGCCCAAACGTAATAATTTAGCCTGCCTGAACTTTTCACGTGTTCTTGATTTTTGACGGTTATTCTCGTGCGTATCATCAAAGCGTATTATCAGTTAATTTCAATGCACTGCCACTTGCCACTTCGGCAGAAACAAGTGAAGATAAATACATGCAAACAGATCGGCCTCCACCTAGAGATGATCACGAATGGTCCTTTTCATGGACTGTCCGGGAAATACGCCAAAGACACAGCGTTCACAACTCAAAGGAAAGCATGGCCTGCGCCTTCTCAGAAGCCGATGTCAGCGGGCCTCCAAGCTTGGGCTCTCAGTCTGCGGGCAGCTGTGGTGGCTGTACCAGCCTATCGGCCAGGAAGGCGGCCATCCTCTGTTCCGCATGTGGCACGCGATGGCACACTGCGTGCGCAGGCCTGAAGGTCAAAGAAGCGCAGACACTGCCGGTCTGGCACTGCCGGAACTGTCGCTCAGACCATGTCAACCTCGGATTGCAGCTCTCACAGCATACCATTACACAAGGTACACGACCGTCACCGTCCCCCGATGGCTCTACGCCTACAGAACTACATTCAAGACTGGCAAAACTGCGTGATTCTTGTCCTGTCGTGAAGCGGATTCCCAAGGCAGCTCGTGCCTCTGTCGCAGATGCCCTATCCTCCATCATAGACACAGCTCTCTCAGAATCCAGCCTTGAAACATGGTCGCGATTTCTGTCTTTCGCTTTTGTGGTTCTTCGAGCACCCAACAAGGGCAGACGGTCTTCCATCGTCAGCGCTATCAAGCAGCAAATCAATGACATCAACGCTAACCACCAGTCGTGTCCTCCACCTGCACGGCTGACATCTATGACGTCAACTCAGCCTGGTCGCGAGACCGGTGATGATTCGGTTGCTCGCAGAGTCCATGGGAAATGCGCAGATAAAGACATCAAAGGCGCTCTCCGCATCCTTACGTCTACCGAAGAGTTCACTCAGGCTTCTCCCGAGGTCTTGAGTGTTCTGCAACAGAAACATCCACCAGTGCCCGCTGACGAGGTCCTCCCTCCTGCACCCAACACGTCGGACTTGCCTATCCTCACCGTCACCGAGGAGCAGGTTCAGGCTGCCATCAGGACCATGCCACCGGGATCTGCAGCCGGTCTGGACGGAATGCGACCCATGCACCTAAAGCAGCTCACCTCGGCAGAAGCCACCGAGCCAGGAAGACGGCTCCTAAAATCCATCACGAATCTTATCAACATGACCCTCAGAGGTGCTGTACCGGATCATGCCCGGGACAGCTTCTTCGGAGCCACACTCTGCGCCCTAAGGAAGAAGGATGGAGGGCTGAGACCCATAGCTATCGGTAGTGTCTACCGCCGACTAGCTAGTCGCATGGCAGCCCATCACATGGCCAGCATCATCGGCCCAGAGCTGAGACCAGTTCAGCTGGGTGTTGGCACACCCCTCGGCTGCGAGGCGGCTGTCCACGCCACCCGTGAGGTGCTCACTTCTGATGTGTCAGTCCCGACAGCGGTTATCAAAGTGGACATATCCAATGCCTTCAACACGGTCAGAAGAGACCAGATGCTGAATGCGGTACGAACTCGTTGCCCAGAGGTATACCCGCTTGCCTATCAAGCCTACAGCGCTCCATCGCCGCTCCACTTCGGAGATCACGTCATCATGTCCAGCTGTGGAGTCCAACAGGGTGATCCACTGGGTCCAGCCTTCTTCGCTCTGGTGGTGGATGGCTGCGCGCGATCCCTGAAGTCTCCATTGAACCTTTGGTACTTGGATGATGCCACAATTGCAGGACCAGTGGAAACAGTGGAGGAAGACCTTAGAACTCTATGTACCGAACTTCCAAAGCTCGGCCTAGAACTAAACAAATCAAAGTGCGAGCTAACCACCATCGGTGGCACTCCAGCCGAAGGCCAGAGCGTTATCAGCACCATCTCGTCAGTCCTCGCCGGCATCAAAACCACCCCTCCTGAACAGCTCACACTGCTCGGCTCACCGCTACACGAGGCTGGGCTTGGCGACTCTGTCAGAGCAGCCCACACGACTATCAAACTGCTGTGCAGTCGACTCCGCCTCCTCGATCGACACACAGCTCTGTTCTTCTTATCGAAGTACGTAGCTGCCCCGCGAGTGCAATATCTATTACGTTCATCGCCAGCCTATCGGGAGCCTGCAGAGCTATCCCGAATCGACAGCACAGTTCGTCTCACGCTCCAGGAAGTTGGTAACGTGGCACTGACAGACGAGGCCTGGGAGCAGGCTGCACTGCCCCAGAGGCATGGCGGGCTCGGCGTGCGCTCCGTGCACGCTCTCGCTCTGCCCTGCTACTTGTCGTCTCTCACCGCAGCAGCACCGCTGGTCTTATCTATCTGCCCTTCAACCTTCACGGGCCCTGAGCCAGCGGCACTGCAACCAGCCACGGAGCAGTTCATGGCTGCAACTGGCATCGAGACTGTTCCAGAACGCCCGGCGGCCAGCCTCCAAAAGACCTGGGACGACATCGCGTCAACTGTCACCGCTAACCGCCTGATCGCCGGAGCCAATCAGATACATCGCGCTCGTCTCGGTGCTGCTTGTATGCCGCATACTGCAGCCTGGCTGCAAGCACCTCCAATCCCCAGCCTGGGACTGTACATTGATGACGAGACCATTCGTATAGCGGTAGCCCTCCGACTAGGCCTGCCCATCTGTGAGCCCCACCAATGCAAGCTATGTGGATGCCCTGTGGACAGGCTGGGACACCACGGCCTATCATGCAAGAAGAGCGCCGGTCGCTTCCCACGGCACGCAGCCCTAAATGACGTCATTAAACGAGCACTGGCAAGCGCTGGCGTACCATCGGTCTTAGAACCTGTGGGGCTAGACAGAGGAGATGGAAGGCGCCCCGACGGACTGACAACGTTCCCCTTCAGTGCCGGTCGAAGCCTCACATGGGACGCCACATGCGTTGACACGTTTGCTGAGTCACACGTGGTGAAGTGTGCAGTGGATCCCGGCGCAGCTGCAGACGCCGCCGAGAACCTGAAGCGCATGCGCTACGCCAGTCTTGCAGACCGCTACATCTTCACTCCAGTAGCAGTGGAGACTACCGGCGTAGTCGGAGAAGCAGGGTCAAAGCTGCTTCGGGATATCGGCGGTCGGATTTCTGCGGCGACTAAGGACCCCAGAGAAGTGTCCTGGCTTCTACAAAGAGTCTCGATAGCAATCATCCGGGGAAACTCCGCCGCTATCCTCGCCACAGCCCCTCCTGAAGCTGGTCCCCATCACATTGGGTGTGTCGCAGGACGCGCGTCTGGCCCGGCAGAAGAGTCGGACTCAGCCGTAGACGCAGAAGTAGCTCCACCAGCTTCTTCATCAAAATCCAGCGTATTTGGCCAGCTCATCGAGAATGGGAGAAAGCTAGCCCCAAGCGACTTCGAGGTTCCATGGGGCGAAATATTTGGTGCAAAACCAAAGCACTAACGGCATATGAGTGGTAGTGTCTAGTGTGTCATCGAAATGTACCCTGTGGTAATGTGAAATACAAAAACGTCTGAAAAAAAAATGATCTCCTGTCGTATGATCAAACCATCCCGGAGCCGCGGAAAGTATCAGTTCAGACCATAACCAAACCGAGCAGTAGGGATCAGACTCAAAGTAAAACCGATTATGACCTACCCGACCAAGGAAAATTCCTTCTCACCGGTTTGAACCAACCGTCCCTATGGTGAGATTCCGTCAGGTTCAGAGGCGTGGGATCCTAAGATACCCGAGCAACGAGAGCCCGTCAGAGTTGGAGCGTTCTATTATATACCTAGTACCTACCCAAGCAAGGCAACCCGTCAGGGTTCGGTCATATTACTACCTACCAAAGCAGTGAGAGTCGTCAAGGTTGGAGGCTGGACCAAGCACCACTTACCCGAGCAACGAGAACCCATCAGGACCGGAGCGTACCATTACTTACCCGAGCAACGAGAACCCGTCGGGATCGGAGCGTACCATTACTTACCCAATCAGTGAGAACCCGTCGGGATTGGAGCGCTGCCGGCTCAGGACGATCACGTCCACCACGAATCGGATGGCGGTCTCGGCAGGAGACACCTTGTACACGATCTGCTTCTTCTTCCAGGCGCGGCTTCCTAAAGGAAGGAAGAGTGTGATTGTCAAAGAGGCCACGTCAATAGCAGAGGAGTAGTCGAGGTGGACAGAGAAAAAGTTGTGAGTAGCGGCACATAGTATATCATATCTCGTTTCATCTCATTTAATCTCTCATCGTCATAAACATTGGCCAGGAACTGCTAACTGAAGCATCAGAAAATGCCGCGTTCTTTTTACAAATATCTCAGTAAACACCCCACATGCAGCTGCGCTTAACACGAAATTGGACATTTTGATGTCACCGATGGCATTCGCTGCCATAGGATCCTGCAACCTCTCGAATCATAAGACCTGTCTTTTATCCAACAGAATCGGTAAATGCGGAATGTAGTATGAGAAATGAGGGTAGCACTGCAGCTCTCACCTATCAGCATCAGCGGTGTAAAGGAGGATGGGATTCTCACTCACCAGTAACGGCAGTATGTGGAGCGGGGGGGGGGGGCACTGTCATAACTCACCGAAATCAGAAACGCGCAGAAAGAGGGACACCGGCTCTCACCCACCGGTATAAGCATCGTGTGGGATGGGGGAGGCGGCTCTCACCTACCAGCATTGGTACTGACTACTGAGTCACCAGACGGCAGACACAACTCCCACCCACCTGTATCAGTGGTGTGCGGGATGGGTGTGTGCCTATCTGGCGGCATGTCTCGCTCGCCCACGATAGCCACGTCCTCCACCACATGGCCGCTGTTGCCCTCCGTCTTGGAGAGGCACAAGTACCGCGTCTCGCGCCGCCAGAAGCCATCCTTCCATAGGTCAGCGTCTGTGTCTTGGTCATAGGTCTTGGCCACCTGTCGGGTTCAGGCCAGTCAGGTTAAAGAGCGCCAACAGCTGGTATAAATTTACACTTCAGAATTTATTGGAACACAAATCATTGTAGGTATTAGGTACTTGAGATGACTTTAGCTCATGTCGTGGTCTGATGACACACAATGAATAATAATCCAGAGGCTAACACTGCACACTACCTATCAGTTACATCATGGATCTAGGGCTCAATCAGATAGCCTTCGCGCCAAGTCCGCCGCAATGCTCTCAGCTCACCACTGTGAATCCCGGCGGGCAGCCGGTGACGGACTCCACCACCGCCACAGAGGTGACGGGCCGCTCGTCGGGCAGCGGCAGCGCCGACACCAGGTCGCCCGTGTACATGACGTCACAGGATGCCGGCCAGTTGCCAGATACCTATCCAGCGGGTGCAGCAGGCACCAGACAGCAGTGGGTAAAGGTGACACCAGATGACAGCCCTTTGGGTTGTCACTCAGCGTTTCTAATGGTCGATGTCAGGAAATGTGAGCACTGAAACATACCAGGCATTGGTAGGTAATTGGTGATGCATTCACACTACTAATGTAAGTATGATAGTGATATCAACAGAGCAACAGAAGTTATTACGCTGCATATATAGTGATTATCAATCAGCTGTTGATAGCAATGAGTAATAAGTATAGGATGGTTGTGTGTGAGACTTGTATTTATACAATACTCTTGACACTGATTGCTGACAGCTGAAGTATCTTTAGTGACCATACCCAAGTGAGGCAACTGACATTGTGAACTGTCTTTCAGGGAGGTTTTGCTGGGCTCAAGAAGACTAATAAGATAACTAGGCCTGAGGGACCTGTCCAGGCAGTGTAATGTAACATGTGATCACGTCTGGGAGGTAGCTGGTTCACTGAGGCGGCTGAAGAGGTACATCAAAGTTTTGCATCCAGGACAGTTAGATCATCGAAGCTAAGTGTCCCGAATGATTGTCTATGATCCCATGCTGGTGTTATACCGGGCGATACTCCCAATGGTTATGCGAGTCCTGGAGTTATATACCATAAGACAGCCCTGCAATTCAACACCACTGCAAAAGACCGCAGCATAGAGCCGAGCTAGCCCAGGATCCCCGGCGGATGAGCACAGCACACAGCACACGTGGACACAAGGAAGCTGGGTAGCTGGCAACACAGCTGGCCAGCTGTGCTGTAGGCCCACAGCTGGTAGTAGTGGCAATTGGGAAGAAGATAAGCTAAACAAGCAATGCCTGGCATGCCCAAATCACAAATGTGTCATATTTATGGATTGTATCCACATACCAGTCTGGTAGTGGTGACCTACATATCTTATTTGGAAGAGCTTGTAATGTAAAGCATTTATCTTCAAGTTGCTTTAACTCAGTCTTTTTGTTAATGGTTATCCAACTTCTTGGCATTCATGACAAAGATATTATGTATGATCTCAGGTCAGTGGTAACTGGCAAGTACATTAAATTTGGCTCAAATGTGAAATAAGTCCTTACTTTCTGTGCAGATCCTTCCAACAATTTGACACAAAATTCCATGAAGGTACCGTAAAACGGGGCTATAAGGGACAGTGGGGTTATAGGGGACAAATTTCGGGAAAAAGTTTTGAGGGATCTGGGTAATACAGTGAACGAGAAACAAAAGGAAATAGATATACAATATGAAACACTGATGTCTGGACATGCATGCCACATCACCATTTCCAAGATGCTTGTTGTTGTTCTCATGCTATGAGCTTTTGAAAAAAGTGCCAAATTCGCAACAAAATTGTAACCCCGAAAACTTTGCTTGTGGAAACACAACCACGGACTCTGGGACCTTCACTAAGATATAGTCAATGACCACATGTATCCTGAAGATGCCCATGAAATTACATCCATGTATCCTCCTTGCCTCATCCTCATTTCCGCTTTTTTCTGTTTCAGGTAGATTTTGATGTCAAAACGGGGCTTTAAGGGACACCGTCATTACCAGTCAAAGCGAGGAGTTAAAACAAGGAAAACATATTCGAAAGATGTAATCATGAAAGCTGTGGATGCAGTGAACAGAGGGATGCCTTTCAGGGTAGCTGAGCAGAAGTTTGGGATCCCAAAAAGTGTCATGTAGGCACAATAAGGCACCTGCTACCTGAAAACCGGGCCATCCAACATTCCTTGGAGAGGACAGAGGATGTCCTGTGGTGTACCCCTTCTCAGACATTGTGCAAAAGATCCAAGAACCCAAATACCTCACCAGGGGAATCATGGAAATCAAAGAGGTCAAGGAATACAATGAGTGAGCTGATATCAAACACCTCCAGCTCCAAGGAGCTGCCAGAGACTCTCTGCAGTCTTCTGGTGGATGGTGTTCTGGAGTTCAGAATGGCAGGAGAATGCCTCATTATCAAGTGGTTGTACTCATATCATTTGTGTTTTGATAATAACACATTATTATGTTTCCATATTTGAGTTTCCTTTATGGTATTTATGTTGAAAAAGGAAGTTACCTTTTCCGTCCTCCATTGGAAACTTTGATGGATGCCAATCCATTGTATGTGCACTTAAAAAACAAATATTTTGCACAGGAAAGCAGTAAACATTTTTAAAAACATAGTCTGTGTCCCTTAAAGCCCATTTGATGGTGCTACTAGAGTTTAAAAGGCCCTAACAGTGCTCGTCCCTTAAAACCCCGGTGCGGGGCTATAAGGGACAAGCAACAAAAATAAAAAAAAATCATACATCTATGATACCAATAAAATGCATATTATGCCAAAAGACAGACCTAGTCAAGACCTGAAAAGTGACAAAGTTTGAAGCCTGTGTAAGCAATAACCTTTGAATGACAGGTTGTCAAAGTCAAAACCTGTCCCTTATAGCCCCGTTTTACGGTATTGAATTTCAGAGCAGGCCTACAATGAAAATACTATGTTACGTCAGCACCTCTGGACCACCCCAAGTCTCTGAGGCATCTTGATCTGGGCCCTGCTTTCACCAGTGATAGCAGCACCATGGATTAGGTATTCCTGGATCGGACACTCCGCCGATTTTCCGACCACCCGGCGGCGGCGGCGGATTTCCCGACGGCGAGGGCGCTGGCGTCATTTTAGCATTGCGGGCTATGGGCGGAGCGTGTCTTTTTGTATACTTTTGTCGTTTATTACTTACCTATAACCGATTTTGATGAAAATTTTTGTGAACCAGGTAGAACAGGAATTGAGGAATGTCATGGAAATATTCTTTTCCCAGTTTTGATTTAATAAGTTGCTTAAATTCTGCTGACAAGTAAGGGTTCGTGATTACAGCCGAAGAGCCAATGTTGGAATAAAGTTAAGTTTTATGCGATAACATGAAAATAAGTTGATATTTGTACCAATCATCAATAGGAACTTGTTTGACTGCCGAGGAACGATTATATTTGATGATAAATTGCATCGGGAAGTCAAGAATACCGGCTCAGTTTATGGGCATCAGGTAATGATTCCGTAAGTGATAGTGACTAAATGGAGCCATAATAATTATAAGAAAGGACTAAAAATTATGTTTAAAGTGTCTGAAATTGTGTCTTATCAGCTAAAGTTCGCTAATTTCGCCCTCCATTACCGCGTTTTTAGCACGCAAGCCGGTGCGGCGGCCGCCGGCGCACTCGCCGCAGATGTTTCGGAGCTCCGCCACCAGGGCGGCCGCTTGTTCGCCGGCGCTAGTGTTGGGGAATAGGGAGTGTCCTATCCAGGAATACTTCATCCATGGCAGCACGCTGCTATTATACGTGTCAAATTGGGTTTCCATGGAGATGTCAACAAGCCTATTCCTCCAACACTACCAGAAGTGTGACGTCAGCTTGCAAAATGGAATAACAGCGTGCTGCTATCACCGGTGAAACAGGGCCTCGGCATTGTGTACATATTTTTTTCCTGTCTGGCTCAGATTCATGAAACCGAATAAAATTCAGCATTATCGCCATTGTTTGACAACTGAGCAATTAAGAAGGAGTATCAAATTTCCCTAAAATTGCCCAAATCACCCACACAGATGATGGAGATATGTTGATTTAGGCAAGGTCAAGGCGTGTGATCATGATGCTGATGCCAATGCTGGAAGTAGCAGTCATACTGTAATTCAATAAAGGCCAGAACTGAAAAATTCAATGTGTTATTTAACCAATTTTTCATGGAGTTCAGGCACATGGATTTAGCCCACATTACGTTCACCCGTTCTAAGAAAAGATCAAAATTAACAAAAAAGATGCATACCCCCCTCTCACAACGCGCGCCACTTACCCGCTGCGCCACTTCTCGCAAAATTTGTGATAATTTTGACTCAAGGTTATGTTTAAAGTGCAACAGTGGCTTGAAGGCTAAAATGACATCATGAATAAAAGATCTGTAAGAATCTTGGTTATTACTTATTGTGATGTGTTGTTGTGTTAATTTGATTTTATATCAAAACTTGTTCCAGAGCAAAGTCAAAAGTAAGCAACGGTAATTCACTAACTTTGTTATTATGCAATTTCACGTTTACAGCAGACATCATGGGTCATGGCAGATGATGGCAGACTGATGTGAATTTCATCCATGTTATGACATTGGCAAACAAAGGGTTCCTAAAATATTTTATTTAGTAACTCGCTGACCCCTAATTTTTTTAAATTTTTAAAAATAACCATAAAATATTTTTCTTTAAAGGAAATAGTTCACTTTCACGAAATTATTTTTTTTGCAATGGATTTATGATTTTTTATGTTCAAAATGATCAGCAAAGAAAATAAAACCTATTTATAACAAAAGATTATTTTCTATATTTTGATATAAGAAGAACTTTTCAGTTTCTGTAAGGCACAGGCGATCCAGTATGAAAAGAGCATGGGTTCCGAAAATTCTTCAGAAACTAGAGAAATTATCGCGGCCACCGGCATTTGGGCGATCTGCTGCTGCTGAATGTCCTTATTGATCAGTACGAGAATTTCTCTTGAGTTCTCGTAGATAATTTCACTAGTTTCTGAAGAATTTTCGGGACCCATGCTCTTTTCATACTGGATGCGAATATATGCAAGGCACACATCCTCAACGCAAGACACCTTTTTCGGGACGAGAAATAGAATATCTTTGCCTAGGGTGATCGTTGGGCTGTAAAAGCTCCTGATTTATGCTCGTCTCAGCCCAAGCTACGGAACTGCTATTCCAGTTCAAAACCCATGTTAAAAAGTGAACTATTTCCTTTAAGGGAAAACAACTCAGCCGGTTTCGATTTTAAAATAAATTGCTGCTCTAATCAGACGAACTTTATTTTTTGGCTATTTGTGTTGCACTTGAGATTACTTTCACTTTATATGTATTTTTGTTCTTTAAAAGAATTTCAAACCCATTTTAGAATGAAAAATGACAAATCAGACATCATCATCTTCAAATATCCGTGCATCCTATGTTATAAGAAGTTCCTGAGGGCTGTTCACGGACCCTGTGTGCGGTCGGACCGCACACAGCCTCCAAGCTCCGCCCACTGCGTCCCTACGTCAGCCTTCCGTCACCGCACACAGCGATCGCTGTGGCCGGTCGGGACTGGCCACAGCGGACCGTCCACCGCACGCAGCCGTGACGTCAGAACCGCCTACCCATCCCCTACCCCCACGCCTGCTGGACGTACCGCACACACCGCACGCAGCAGTGTGCGGTGCCCGTGAACACCCCTCTGATGTAACGGCTGCAGAGCGATTTTTGAAAGTGTTTACAAGTCGTCGCTGCGTCAGCGTCGCGTCGTAAGGTCGCGCTCAAGTCGCGCTGCCGTTTCGATTTGTATTGTGTCTGCGGCTGCGCACCCGTCTCAGTTTGATGATCAGCGGTGTGCGTTTACAGTTTCTATTTTCTGTTACATATACAAGGTGGGGTGAACTATACGGGGTTGAATTCAAACTGAAACGACTGTCACTGGTCCTTGATCCTGAACTCAGTTCTTTTTTATTTTTGGTTCAGGCTTCATTTTGCGACAGTTCAAATCCCAGCCTGTGATTTCTTGTTTTGATATTAATATACAGCTTTTCTTGCTATCTCTGGACATGCAAAGTGTGAAATCAAAATGCTTGATAAAAAATGGAAATTGAAATTGCTTAATTGCTGACTTATGAATATCAATATTTCTGATTCCTTTCTTTCACTTCAGTTCTGATAGGATCAGGGTTCTTTTAAATATATCAGAAAATAGCTCAGAACTGGGGGGTGTTCACGGGCACCGCACACTGCTGCGTGCGGTGTGTGCGGTGCGTCCAGCAGGCGTGGGGGTAGGGGATGGGCAGGCGGTTCTGACGTCACGGCTGCGTGCGGTGGACGGTCCGCTGTGGCCAGTCCCGACCGGCCACAGCGGTCGCTGTGTGCGGTGACGGAAGGCTGACGTAGGGACGCAGTGGGCGGAGCTTGGAGGCTGTGTGCGGTCCGACCGCACACAGGGCCCGTGAACAGCCCCCTGCTGTAAATTAAGCTCATAGTTTGAGTTCTGTTTGCAATAGGTATTTCATTAATCTATGCATGTGCATACATATGAAGATGACTGATACTGATACTGACATGGTATTTGTTTCAGAATCCAGAGGACTTAAGAACAAGTTCTGTGGATAAACTGCTGCAATGTTTTCAAAAGCACCAGTGAAGAGGTTTAATGATGAAGTTGGTGAGTAATAAAAGTACTTCAACCCTACTCCTCCTTTACAGGTCCAGATTCATGCCTTTTCAAGTCAGAGTTCATCTCTTGACTCTTCATGATCATGGACATCATCGCCAGTGATCACTGATCGGTCCGATAAAGCAGTGATCGGTCCGATTCTCACCATGTTCAGAACTTTGTTCACTCAACATTGTGAACATCACTGAAACAATGGCAGTGTATTTGTCGTCTGACCGGAATGTCCGCCGTGCCGGCAGGCTGCGCTCCGGCGCCCACCCAGTACGAGCCGCGCGGCCAGAGCTCGGCGGCTGGCGCCTTCTCCATGCCAAAGTCGAACCGTTTCGTGGAGCCCAAGTTCGTGCCGCCGGCGCCCAACCAGTACCAGGACCCGCGACTGCCGCCGACGCCCAGCAAACGGGCGGGCGGATCCTCGGTCCTGAGACGCACGGTGGGTACATCAACTATTTTATCGTAGAAGCTGCTATGCTTTTCAATTTTAAGTTAGGGTTATCATATGAAAACACTGATGACCAGGGCTGTTTGACAACGCTGAATGTTGTTTCACCGGCTTGCTTCTTTGCTCGTTGCCGTTGACGTTCTGTGTTGTGTCACGGATAGGGCTTAGGTTTCACACCGCTCTGTGTCGGTCACGGAGAAGACTTTATGGTTGACGACGTGCTGTGCTTTGTAAGAGGCAGGGCTCGGTATTTAACGCCGCTCGGTGTTCTGTCACGGACACATCTTGCTTGACCCCGTTCGGCGTTTGTATCACGGCGTGTGTCGTGCTCGAATCGTGTTTGGTGCCGTTCGCCACTTTGCCACAGACAGGACGCTTTCACATCGCACCTATGTTATTGTTAGTTGTCAAGTACAAGGTTCGGTGTTTGACCCGGTACGATTTGTCTCCCGGACAGGGCTCTGTGCGTCGCCACCAGTCGGTTCAGTCGAACGGTCAGACCAGCCAGCTGTCCCAGCCGAGCTTCAACTCGTCACAGCGCTCCGACGGCGGCAGCAGCTCGCCGGTCCAACAGCTGGAGGCTGAGGTCAGAAAACAACGGCGGCACATATGGGCGCATCCTGACAAGGAGTTTATTGGGCATTGTACTCGTTTGGTGGCGATATTTTTAGAGAACGTGATGGAATAGGCATTTTATGGTTGAGTCACTGTGTCTCATCGACTTATCGACTTCGGCAATCATCGTTGCTTGATAGCTGAGTCAAATGTTAATTGAAACCTTTTGAAACATTTGCAATCAAATTAAAGCAAGCTTAACTTAAGATTTTATTTGTAGTGTCGGACTAAAAAGCACAGAACTTCATGCAGTGCATATTCATGTGTGTGCTGCTGTGAATAGCTAAGTGAGTGCTCGACCTCCGTCCTTGTCATTTCCACGTCTGTTTTGCACAAGTCCGCTATCCTTTTTGCTTGCTCTATCATGTTCGGCTCATGCCATGACAGTTTGTCGCTTGTCGTGTCGTCAGGTGGCGGAGCTGCGCACTCGGAACGCCGCCCTGTTGGACACCATCAGTCAGCTGACAGCGTCGATGGTGACGCACCCGGTGGGATCGGACGGCGTCATCCTGTCTGCGATCGGCGGTGGCGCCGTGCCGTCCCCCGTCGGCACGGGTGCTGAGAGCGGCGAACGGCCGGCGGCGGACGCGCAGACCGCGGCGGAGACGGCCTTGGACACAGAGAAGGCGGCGGCGGCCTGCGTGTCAGACCTAGTGGCTGAGGTGGAGCGTCAGGAGCGCGAAGCATGCCGCTGCCGTGAGGTGGAGTCCCGTCTGACAGCTCTGGACGAGCAGGAGCGGGCGGCACGCGGGCAGCTGCTGGCTGTCTGTGACGACCTGGAGCGGCTGGACGGCTGGGCCGGCCGGCTGGAGCGCTACCAGCAGACAGCTGAAGAGGAGGCCCGCCGCCGGCTGCAGCTCGAACAGCAGGTGATGGTGCTGAAACGCACCGCCGAGAGCCAGACCCTGCGTATGAAGGAGCTGGAGCTGCTGCTGCAGGTGGCGCGGGAGAGTGAGGTGGACGCCCACGAGGACGCCTGCCGTCTGTCCGACCGACTCTCGGTGCTGGAGACCGACCTGGCGGACAGTCAGCGGCAACGCCACGCCCTCGAGGAGACGCGCGATGACCTGCTCAACCAGCTGACCGACACAGTCGAGCGGCTCAATGAGGGACGCGCTCAGCGTGAGCACAGTCAGCGCGAGGCTCTGCTGCTGCGCCGCCGCTGTGACGCCCTAGACGCCGATCTGCAGCGCACCTCGCACCAAATCACGAGCAGAGAGCGGGAGGCGGCCGCTCTGCGAGACAAGTTGGACGCCGAACGTCAGCGCAGCCGTGAGGCTGAGGAGCGTGAGGGCGAGGGCCGACAGAGGGCTGAGCAGACGGAGGCGCAGCTGGCAGAGGCTCGCGCCCAGCTGGAGGCGGCCCAGGCGGAGCGTTCCGAGGCCGAGCTGCAGCTGGCGGCGCTCGACGGCAGTCTGGCTGCGCTCGGACAGGAGCGTGACGAGCTGGCGGCGGCGCGCGCCGAGCTGCACCGCCAGCTGGCTGAACGGGACGCCGAGCAGCAGCGCAGCCAGGCGGCCGCCGAGGAGCTGCGGGCCCAGCGCACTGACTTGGAGACGCGGCTGGCGAAGCTCGGTGCCGAGGCGGAGCGGTCGGCGCTGGCGGCCGCCGCGCTGGTTGACGAGCGAGCCACCGTGCAGCGGGAACTGGCTGAGACGCGCGGCCAGCTGGGACGGGTGGCGGACCAGCTGAGCGGCGAGACGGAGCGCGCCGAGACGCTTCGCTCGGAGCTGTGGTACGCCGGCCTGCAGCGGCGGCTGACGGCTGAGGACGCCGCCGAGCTCAGCGAGACGGTGGCTCAGAAGGAGCGCGCCATCCGGCGGCTGGACGCGGCGCGCCGAGACAAGGAGGCTCGACTGGAGAAGATGGCGCGCCGGACCGACGAAATGGCCGCCGCCATCCAGGAGGCGTCCCGAGAGCTGGAGCACGTGCGATCGGAGGTGCAAGCGGAGCGGATGCGCGCCGAAGAACTGGCGCTGCTGGACGGTGGCAGGAAAGAGATGCTTGCCCTGCTCGAGCGTGAGAAGGTTGCGTTAACTCTCTCGGTGGCCGAGCGCCAGGCCGAACTGGACGATGCTCGCTGCGAGCTGGACGCGGCCCGAGCAGAGCTGGCGCGCACTGTACGCATCGCAGATGAGCGCGCGGCGCGGCTTCAGGAGGAGCTGGAAACGGCTGAGACGCGTCGCCACACCGCCGAAGCTCTTCTGGAGGAGGCTCGCGCTGAGCTGCAAGAGAGCTCCGAGAGCGTGGCTCGCCGGACGGCCGAGGTAGAGGCACTGAGCGGCACTGTGGCAGAGCATGAGGAACAGCTAAGGAACAAAAACGACCAGCTCAGTGGCCTCAAGACTGAGATATGCGAGAAGGAGGACGTGATTGCCGTGCTTGAGGCCCGAGTTCAGAACCTGGAGGCTGACGACAGTCGAAACAGAGCCGAACTGGAGCAACTGCGAGAGTCTGATCGGACCCTGACAGAGACGGTGGATGGCCTCCGTAGCGAGGCGGCGGCGCGGGCTGAGGAACTGGCCGTGGCCACCGCCGCGTTGGCGGAGAAAGAGGTGGGTCTGCGGGAGCTCTGCTCCGCTCGCGATGAGCAGGAGGCGGCGCTGACGGAACTGCGGAGCGAGCTGGAACAACAGCGTGCCGCCCTGGCCGACCGAGAGGATGCTCTAGCCTCCGCCACTGCCGAGACAGGCCGTCTGCAGCAGCGCTGTGAGGAGCTGGAGGAGGCCGGTGCTGCGGCGCGCCTGGAGCTGACTCAGCTCCGTGGGGAGAACGCTGCGCTGCAGACCGCCCTGAACGAACGCGAGGACCGGCTGGTTGAGGCGCGCCGTCAAGTGACCGACCTGCGCGCCCAGAACACGGACCTAGCCCGGGTCTGTGACGAGTCCCGAGAGCAGCTGGAGACGAGGGCGGCCGAACTGCGGCGCACCGCTGACGAGCTGGTCAAGCGGGAGACTGAGCTGACGCAGCGTCAGCAGGAGGTCGACCGGCTGAAGAAGCTGAACGCCGAGGCGGTTCAGTCGCACAAGCAGGCCGAGGCGCTGGTGCAGAGCGTGCGGGAGAACATGGAGGAGATGAAGTCGCTGTATGAGGAAATCATTGATGAGAAAGACTCGAACGCGGCGGATCTGAAAGAGCAGCTGGACGCCGAGGTGGCTGCCAGGAAGGAAGAGGCTACAGAAGCGCTGGCGGCGCGGGAGGAGATTGCTACTAGGCTGGAGAAAGCTGAGGCAGCGAGACGGGAAACCGCAGAGGAGTGCACCATTCTGCGCAACGAAATTAAACTGACCAGCTCTTCGATCGAGTACCTGGAAGCTGAGCGAGAGAAGGCGATCGCCGCGAATGCCGAGGTAACCCGTGACCTGCAAGACCAGCTGGCCACTGCCGAGGCTGCGGCTGTCGAGCAGAAGTCGCGCGCGACCGAGGCGCTGAAGCGGGCTGCCACCCAGCAGGAGGAGGCTCGCGTGGCGCGTCTGCTGGTGTCGGAGGAGCAGCGTCACGCCGCCTCCGTCCTGGCGGAGCGGGACGAGTGGCGCGCGCGTGCCGAGACGGCTGAGGCGGGCAGGAAGACGGCTGACGCCGAGCTGACAGCCGTGCGGGAGGAGAGGGACAAAGTAGAGGAGGCGCGGCGCGCCGCTGACACCGCCCGCACCGAGCTGGAGTCGAGGCTCGCGCAGATGGAGGCGAGCCACGAGAGTGACCTCTCCCAGCTGTACGACAACTTTGCCGACATGCGCCAGAAGCTGCAGCAGGCGTACCGACAGGACGCAGCGCTGCGCGAGGCGGCCCAGGAGGTCCCTCGCCTGCAGGAGGCGCTGCGTAAGGCTGAGGGAGAGGTGCGCGCGCAGGCTGAGGCGCGAGCCGAGGCCGAGAACCGTCTGCAAGAGCAGCAGGACCAGAGCGAGTGGAAGGACAAGTACGAGAAGCTATTCGCGCTGGTGGAGCCGTTCCAGGTAAGATGGTTCATCACTCATCAGCTACTACATTGCGCCGGTGCGATGTGTTTGACTGACGGCATACGACCGTGGACCATCAATCTGTCAACAACTTTGTCTCCGTTTTTGTGGCTGTTAACTTGAGTACTATCTTTGCGGTGTCGCCCTCTTTTTCGACTTCCGAATGCCTGGCTCTGCGGTCGTTGACTTTTTTCTTCTTTTTGAAAGTGTATTTGCTACTAAGTGGAATAGTGATTGCTGCCGTTGGCCACCGGCAGGTCTTAGCCTGCATGTGATTATTGGTCAATAAGTAACGACAGACAGTGCAGCCAATCATCTATCACATTTCATCTTCATATGCATTATTGCATATATGCATAGATTTATGTTATCTATGCATTGATATTCTTATAACCTAACCTAACTCAACCCTTTCTCTCATTCCTCGTTACGTAGGCATAAGATGTGACGCTCTTGCCGGTACCCTTTCTCTTTCAACGCCCATTCCCCATCATTCATATCTATCCTCAATCTCGGCCGATCCCCCCCCCCCCTCGCCGCCGGTATCCATCGCCGTTGCCGCCGCTCTCGTTGCGATAATGGTCGTCTCGATGGCGCCCATTAGGCGGCTGGCACAGCAGACAGTCGTCAATGATGCTGCCGAGGACGTAATGGTGACCCCTTGCCATAATGGTGTCCGCCCCACTGTCAGCGAGACCAATGGGTGATTCCGACAGAGCTAACGGGTATTGGTCCACATTCCGCCGTGATTTTAGGAATATTGTCGTTTTATCGTTTATACAAGCCGAGCTATATAATGGACACTGCCAGAATTCCGCACAATTGGGCAATGGGACAGCTTTTCATAATGTGTTTTTGAATAAACAGTGTTTGCTATGGATGAATCGTCCGAGCCGATGCACTGCTACTTTGTAGTCCATCACATCATCCTACACATTCGAGCAGTTTTTAAGAACTTGCTCGAATGTGTCTGTATGCTGTCTGGTCTGTGAATCATATGTGGACCGTTTGTCCGTCTTCCCGCAGACTCAGCTGGAGCTGTACCGCGCCGAGCGGCGCCGTCTGCCGTGGATTATCTGTTGACCGTGTCTGCTGCGTATGCGATGTTGACCGTTGGTCTGTCGTCCCCGCAGACTCAGCTGGAGCTGTACCGCGCCGAGCGGCGCTGTCTGCTGGAGCAGTCGGAGGGCACCCGCGCCGAACTGGAGCGCCTGGCCGGCCAGTACTCCCAGCTGCTCGGACACCAGAATAAGAAGCAGAAGATCCATCACATCATGCAGCTCAAGGAGGAGAACCTGCAGCTCAAGAAGGTGGGTCAGCTGTTGCATTCAGTAGGCAGCTAGATGTCGGGCCAGCAAATTGAGGCGGCTAGCGTGTCGGAATGTCTAATGGTCGATTGACATATGACAGCTGTCTGCTTGACTTTACTAGGTCACGTGAAAATAATAATTGTTAACGTTGCTTTATTTTTGCGAACTGGCTCGTCAACTGGTCTCGGGATTACCGGGTTACCGAGGGATTGTCGGGTCTTCAGCTGCCGCAGTTTTTCTTAGCATTTGTTTGTTTATTTCTTAGATGAGTACCCCAAACTCCTCAATAACCGACCAGCGCTCTTTTTCTCTCCCTTTCTTTCCCTCTCCGCCCTACCTTCTCGGTTTCTGAGAAGCACCCCTCTCCTCACCCTCAGAGTCTGGCCACGGCCGAGAAGAAGGTGCAGCGGCAGCGGGTGCTGGTCAAACAGCTGGAGGACCGGCTGCACGGCGACCAGAACTCCACCCTGCTCAACGCCACCGTCAGCTCAAAGTCCAAGACGCGAGCCGCCAGCTACGACGTGCTGTCGCGCACAGTGGCGGACCCGCAGCATATGAAGGTAAGCATGGTGGTCACTGGTCAGACGGATTGTTGATATTTATGTGAAACTGGAGGGTGGTCAGTCATGACTGACCCGCAACATTTGTTGGAGATACAGCGGTCTTTGTTCTGCTCAATCGCTCCTGCATCACAATTGACAGTGCATCAGGGAATGTCACAGACCACAGTCATGCCCAGCTGCTGTGGCTCGCGTATTGGAGCTCATCTCCTAAGCAGTGCTTTGCTTTGTTCCAGGATGGCCTCTCGCTTCTCGCGGTCACCCCCCTGAAGGAGAACTCCACCAACCGCGCCATGGGCTCCCCAGTCGCGGCCAGCTCGTCGCTCAAGTCAGCTCGTGGCTCGCTCAAGTTTACCTAAGCTCGTCTTCCCAGCTCAATATCCGCGTTGCCCATTGCCCACTGCAGCAGACTGCTGTCTCGCATTAGCAGAAGTAAGGTGAGGATTTGGACGGAGTCAAACGTGTCAAACTCACTTCAAGTGGGACAAAGTGATTAATGCCATGTGTACCGATGAGTGTGCGTGCGTTACTGTGAATGAGTGCGTCCAACGTGGGATAGTGTAGTCGAGCGTGCGGTCTTCCTCGTCTTTTCTGTCGTCTTCCGTCGCTCTTCCTGTATTGTGAGTGTGCGGTTTTATCGAAGAAAAACCACTCATTATTTTTTGGTTAATCCCTATAATTTGGGACCCGGCCACGATTTTTCATGTGATCTCACTTATAACAAGCTGGCTTTGTGTAAGCTTCGCCTTGTTTGAAATGTTGACCTACAGAAAATCATTCATAACGGTTTAAGATTTCACGGTTTTAATTCACGACTTCACGGTTCTAGATTTAGGAAATAACGCGTGCGGCATGAGTGTAATGATCATCACAGCCAATGTAAACGCACCAAAAAGTGGTTTGTTTTAGCCCGAGGGAAGTGACGGTAAACTAGTAAACCGATAGATTCATTCATAGAAGAAAATAAACGTCTGTTGACAATAAATAAATTTGGATGAAGTGGTGCGTACCCACAGGGGCCTTTCCCAATATCAATACGCGTATTTTGTTGTAAAACAAGCAGAGAAATCGCCAAGCGCAACGCCAGGTTTATTATTACATCTGCATGCAAAGCACTACAGGAAACAGGTATTCTTACACGCACTACAACTACAAGAATAACATCCAAAAAGATGTACGAGCAACGCATTTCGTAAATCGAGATATCTTATGGAGAAACTCTTGCATTGTGACCTACAATAACACCAGTCTTTATCCCGAAGTTGACATTCGGTCATACACCCAATCATCCGGCACTCCACTGGCCAGCTCCATCTGGCGCAAGCAGGGATCCAACTGAGCCCGTCGGCGGCCGAGCTCACATATGACAGAGTAAACCCATCGCCAGGGCACTGTGCCCGTCCATTGAGTGCTCACACCACACATACGCAAGCGGCAAGGTTCAAACGGCCGTTGGCCAAAGAACTGTGTTTCTTCCAGGTCGAGTCACTGGCGTCCGCGGGCCACCGTCACTGAACGTCAGTCTCCACATCCGCTCTCGGTATCCCCACTTGTCAGTGATGCTGCTGATTGTTCAGTAACATCTGCTGATCTGTCGGTGACCTCTGATTCCATTGAAGGCCCCGTCAGTGGTCCACCAGCCGACTGATCTGTCAGTGACCCCTGACGCCATTGGCCGCCGGTCAGGAGACAGCCGGTGTCCCGAAGTCTCCGTAGGCAGCGGTGTGTTTTCGCGCTGCCGCCTCGTTGAAAGCCACCAGACCGTGAGAGCCGGACCCGCGTCTCTCAGCCGGCGGCGGCGCGCGCGCTGGCTTCGTGCTGCCGTGACACCGCAGGATGAAACGCAGCTCGCGGCCCATCTCGGAGAGCACCGAGGTCTGTGGGGTGGGGGACGGTTAGAGGTCAAATTTCCTGACACAGGAAGGTAATAGTACGTTTGGACACTTGATGGGACAGGTTCCCAGGTCAATGAACACAGAGCAGAAAGACTTCCGTGTGGCAATTGGCAAACGAAACTATTTCCAAGAGCCATCAGATAGAAAACAAACTCAAGGAATAACACTTTGAGAATCACCGTCAAGACCGTAGGCGTAACGTTGGAAAATGAAAACGGATCGCCTATACTTATACTTTCACTGCAAAGTGGATCTCAAGGGCCCATGCAACACTGGTCGCTTCTGGAGAATGATCGATCCTCGCACAGTTTGGCTGACACTAGCGAACTCACGTTATCGTCGGAGGCCTGGTCCCGCAGGTGGAAGATGAATTCAACGACGGCGATTAGCGTGGCCACAACCATGCCGCCCATCAGGCAGACGAACACTCCGCCCACGTTCTCCAGGTCCAGTTCGCTGGCCGCCGAGCTGGACCTACCACGGTCATCCTGTCGGTGGCGAGGGGAGGGAGGGAGGGCAGGTCAGGCCTCGGGTGTCGGTATCAAGGTGGGCCCTGAACACTGGAAAGGAGACAGTCGATGGTTAAGCCACATCGAGTTACGAAACAACTACCTTCTGCAAATTGAACGTCTGGTTTTAGAGTGCGTGGGATTTTACATTACTTCGCTCTTCGCTTGTCGGTTTTTATTTCGATGACCTGTTGTAACCAGATACTGTCTGCTGTATCCAGTATGCATGCGATTCAGATTCATGATCGAGGAGAGTACATAGTACATATCGAGCTGTAGACCATGAGAGTAAGTCGTGAACAAAACTGTGAGCCGTGGGCCTATTAGCACTGAACGGGGTTGTGGGCTGTGAGACGCAATCAATCACAGCTGTATGCGCCAGGTCATGAACTGTCGCCACCGTGAACTGTAAGCCATGAACTGTGAGTTATGTAACATCGTGAGTTGTACGCCATAACCACGGGTTGTCAGCCGTTAACAACGAGCCGTAAAACGCAAATACGTACAGAGCACTGAGCACCGTCGTTTTTCCACCACTTGTTCTTGAGTTCTGCCAGCTTGCCCTGTTCCTGCATGTAGACCAGCCGCTCGTTGAGCTGGTTGGTCCAAGGCGAATCTACACAGAGAAAGGGATGCAGCACGTTCAGATGCTTGTTTGAGCCGAGTAGACTCCGTGCGGGGGCAGGCTACATACGCGCACATGCTGATCTTACGAGGGCAAGTCATTCTTACTGAGCAAAGAACAGTGAACACAAATAATAACCGTGCAATCTAAGAAGGAGAGTATGTAACTACATAGAATATTTAGGAACTGGAAACTGCTGTTTGTGACTAACTATATAGTTTGAAAGGAGCGACACATACGCACAATACAGTATACAAACACACACATTGCACATATGTGCATCAGCTACACATCAATCAACTGCTTCTTGAAAGTCTGAAAACATATCGATATAATAGCGGTGGCAAACGGGCGCCTGTGAAAAAAAAAAACTGAAAACAGCGCAATATATTCCAACACCAGAACCTTTATAGGGCACCCAAGGTACGTACATAATGCAGTCAACCAAAGTAGTGGCATGATGATCCGGTAATGCAAACATAAAAGAGTAACGGACAAACAAAAATATTCGCGCTAGGACTGGCCGTACAAAATTGGAGGCTGAAAAGGTGACGAACCAAAGGGTGTGCTGTGCTACATCAAACTACCGAACAACACTAATTGTCTAGGACGAAAGCAGTTCGTGACGGCGCGGCGATCAGGCTGCCGCTGAGACCCGACACGAATGCAGAACTGCAGAGCTACCTTGCACTCGGATTTATCATTGAGCCGCCGCTCCTTCCACCAGCGAGTGATGAGTCGCTGCAGCACTCCCTTCTCTTGGAACAGCAGGATCATCGAGCTGATCCGGTCCCTGTGAGGCGAGCCTGACCGGCAGGTGACCGAGGTCAGGTCACGGCGGTCAGGACAGAGGACAGGGCAAGCAGATTATGGCAGAGGTCAGATTAGTAAGTAGCGCTGAGTACAGACATGTTAGTGGGACTGGCCCGGTTTATCTACCAACTTTTTAGGGAAGCCCCAGCCAGAAGCCTTCAGGTCTCAGAAGTCAGACACGGATCAGATGCCCGAAGACTGTTAGGTAACGGGAAGCGGAGCAGTAGCAGTTACCACAACGATACAGTGCCGTGTAAACACCATGCTCATCGCTCAATGCCCGTGGTTGTTAGGCGTGTTAATGGTTAGAAAAGGTAGCAGGAGCGGTGATCCGGTCATTTTTATGACGAATTTGGTACTGGCCGAGTCCGAGTATCATGTAAGTCCGGGCCGGTTGAGTCCAGCACTCACAACAGGTCAGTTCAGTACCACTGATCCCCTTTCTCGCTCCATCACATACCTGGCGGCAGTGCGATGCCGTATCCTTTGTTATCGAGCAGTCCGCCGACCTGGGAGAGCTCGCAGTCGCGCTCTACGTGGTACTCGATCGACGAAGACTCCATGAAGTAGGCGAAGTTGCCCTTGTCGTTCTTGACGCGCTGGATGCCCTCCTCGGTGTCGTGGAACACGGTGGGAGACTGCGACTCCATTACCTGCCACATCTTGTTGTACGGAGCGATCTGGGAGGTCCTGGATGTGGTGATTCGACAGAGGTTGGTCAAGCGTTGAGGATGGTGCGTTTGCCAGGCTGGTCAAGCGTTGAGGATTGTGCGTTTGCCAGGCTGGTCAGGCGCTACTAACTCAGGGTGTGGGTTAGGAGAGCAGTGAGTCGCAATGCTGAGTGGCGATGTCTTAGCTGAAACTCCGACCGTATGCAAAGTACGTAATATCATAAATCGATGCATATCTATTAAACAGAGGTCGATCTACCCGTACATAGGTACATAGGCATACGGGCATACAAGGTTTACGGGCCAGCAGCTGTTCCTCGCAATAATTGCATTTATGGGCACGGGTCTATGGTTCAGCAGATGTTCCCTGCCAATGTTCGACTTCCCTTCGTGAGCAGAAAATACGGCAGTCTTTCACACGGATAATCTGAATATAGATGCACCGTTGTCACAGCCGGGTTTCGTTGCGTGCTGACCTGAAGAAGGTGGCCGTGGAACCGCTCTCGTAGAGTCCGTACTTGATGGAGCTCTGCGCGGCCAGGTCCTCTACAGAGGTGATGGGGAACACCAGTCGCTCCACCGTGAGGAACGCTGCCAGGTTGGCAGTGTACGAAGATATCTGTAGGCAGCGCACCGTGGTCGGTGAAAATCGGGAACTGGCACCTACGCATGTTTCCGGCTGGGGTTTCTTATTTGTTTTGAGTTTTCTAATCCCTCAAATATAGCTTTTGTTACGGAGCGAGCGAAGCGAGCGTAGTCTTTCCTTAGATTAACGGAAATTTCTGAGTATGAGCGGCCGGCCGGCCGGCCGGCCGTGCGGACGCTTTTGCGAGGCTTATATCTCAGCAACCACTTGACCGATTTACACGCGGTAATTTTTGTAGGGTAGCTTCATTCCTTCTACCAAGTATTGGACTATTCCCGATGCATGTGGGTGACCCCTTATGCACGTGCCACGTGCAAAACGAAGAGGTGTCAGTTTTGTAATTGTTGCAATATCTCGGTAACTACTTGGCCGATTGCGCTGAAAGTTGGCATGTAGGTAGGCACCCACTAGGCAGTGCATATCCATGTGCCAGAGTTGGGGTGCTGCTGCACGTGCGCACGTGCAGGGGTCGTTTCCAGATCTCGAGAACGGCTGGACCGATGGCGCTCAAATTTGGTACACGGTTAGGGACCAGTTAGTAGGGTGCCGTGCACAAGTCAGTTGGGACCCATTTTGCACGTGCGCACGAGCAGGGTGCCGCTTTCAGATCTCGACAACGGCTAGGCCGATTGTGCTCAAATTTGGCACATCGCTAGAGACCGGTTAGTAGAGTGCCGTGCACAAGTCAGTTGGAGGTACCCCCTCGAAATTTCGCACGTGCAAGGCCCACCCTCTCGCTCGCTCCGTTAGTCGCCCCAAAAGGCGTTATACTGGTAATTAAATTGCGAGAGAAAAATTCCTATACATTACATATGCTTTAGTGTGTCTAGAAATCGAGATAGGCAATTGAATGGACTTACCATGATAAGAGTGAAAAACCACCACATCGCAGCGACCATTCGAGTAGATACCGCCCTGTGAGATGAAAAGAACGATTTAAGTTAGTTATGCCAAATCTAACTAGATAGCAAATTCATTTAAATGAATTATCATTATCGTCTTCCGGTAACTGCAAGTGTTTCCATTATCACCATGACTATGTAAGTAAAAGCAGCAGAGCTAATAGAGCAGAGCAGTAGCGAGTCGGGGCAATGGGCATAGTGCGCATAAAACTTTCCACGAAATTTTCATCGCACCAAAAAGTAACAATCACGTTCGAACGACACACTACACTTACTTCGGCAAGAAGTCGCATCCTTGCTGCATAAGGGAGCCGATGCAGAACCAGATGCAGTTGAGGAAGTTGAAGTTGTTCTGGAGCTGCTCCTGGTCGGGAGCGCACGGGTGCGGGGGCTCCCACTCATACGGTGTGAACCTGACAAGAAAAAGTGCTGTGGTTACTGGTTACATATAGCGGCATCAAATGGGCCGTTGAGGCTGTATTGGTATTGTGTAGATAATCTGTGATAAAGTTAGTTGAAAACAATGTATTTGAATGACAGCGCAAGAGAAAGCTATGTTTTGCTGGCATAAGATGTGATTCGAAGTCAAAATTACGCAGTTTCACACAGCCGTCAAGAGATGGCGCTAGTAGTACGCGCCTGAAAGTATACTGTGCCGCACGGCTCCGGGTGGATGGCGGCGCAGTCTAGTTGCAGGCGCTTACCACTGGCGCCATCTCTCGGCGGCTATGTAATATTTGCTGTGTAACATTTGTCCACGACATTTCCAATCACAGTCGAGCTGTTTGCGTTTCATACCTGGCCAGGACGAACATGAGCAATGAGACGCCCATGGTGGCGCCCGCCATATACAGCCAGACACGCAGAGACAGAGGGGAGAGGAAGGAGAAGAGTGACGGAGGCTCCCGTGTCGGCTTCCTGTACAAAATACTGATGCCTGAAATGCAAACGAAATCACTGCTGATAAGCCAACATAGCGCCAGGAAGTTGTAAACATATGCAAGGGAGATGTAAATGGCCGTACTACATTGTTTTTCAAATGACCTTTGCGTCCAAAACATGTACATACATGAAAAAATGCAGGCCAATATTTGACTGAAGAGATCGACATTTTGAGCTAACATTTCATAGACTGTCTCAATCGACTACGCAATGGTCTTCACTTCGCTACATTTCATCATCACCACCATCACCCACCGACGCCGCATCGTTCCCCGACTGACCTAGGTTCATGAACTGCATGGTGAAGTCGACGACGGCCTCCCTCTCGAAGGTGATGGTGAGGTCGGAGATGGCCAGGTCGGCCCTGCCCTCCAGGAGCTCGCCAATCATGCCGTTCCACCGGCCCGTCTCGGGGTCGTACTTGCCCGGAGCGTTATCGGGCACCGGTTTGATGGTGTAGTTGAAGTGGAGAGCCTGCGCCAGCTCCTCGATGAGGTCGACGCAGATTCCCTCGTATCGGTCGTTACCCTCCAGTTCCTCAGATGATTCCTTGAGCATGGTGTATGGCTCTTTCTGAGGAGTAAATAGGGACACAACCGAACAACTGAGATTTAGCCCGTCTCTAAGGAGGTAGTTGCGTTTGAATGAACCTAAATATGATCGCAACATATGAGCGGGCCACACAAAGCCTTCTTATTGCAATATATCTCATGTAAAATTGTAAAACCAAATAATAACATTAATTACACCATCAATAAATAAAACTAACATTTATATTACAATTATCACGGTAGCTCACCAGCAGAGTTGTAACGGTGAGGTTCTGGTTCTTGATGCTGGGTACGACGCGCGTTCTGTTGTCGGCACCAGAGGCGCTGAACCCTTCGGGCGTCCAGCGGCCGAGCGGCACCAGGCCCTCGTCCAGTAGCGTCACCACATCCAGCGAGAAGTGGGAGCGCACACCAGTGGTGTCGAACCGCACCAGACCCGTCAGCCCCAGAACCTCCACCTGGGGGTGTGATGTGAGTCATGTCAGGGATTAGCTTCTAAAGCTTCAGCTGAGGACGTCGGGTGTAATAGGTCAGTGGATAGACTGTGAACTTGTTCTTGAGGAGCAGAGTGTCCCATGCCACGGCTTGAACTTCCGACATAGGGTTTCGTGCGTAAAAAGTCAGAAGTCGGCTAATGACTACCGAAAATAAGCGATGAGACAACAATTCAAGGTCGGATAGAAATATAGAGAATAATTAAACTATCCGTCTGCTGCTGAAACGTTTGCATGCAGATCGAACTATTCCTGTGCACCGCCCATATCTGAGTAATATCTCAGTATCATCTCTTTGAAACAGTTTTCAGCTTGCAGCCATTGTTCCGACTCAAGTCAAATAGCTCCTTTTGAGTTTGAGTTGTCCCATTTATCTCATCCTGGTACCGTAATGAGACACTCTAAATCCCATTTATCACACCAGTCACCACACCAGCAGCGCCCATATCTCGAGAACAGCACCGAAATCCTTGGATTATGTGAAATATTGGAGGAAGAAACCTCATCCATATCCCGTTTTTGAGACGTAGCACATGGCGGTGTGCATTATTGATACATATTTGCATGCTATGCAAATCAGATAAAGACAGATTTCAAAGACGGATGGTTTGTAACCATGGTGTACGCTTGGCGAAATAAGTGACCATGTTTTGTAACAATGGCTGGAAAGTTTTATGTGCGAGGGTGTGCGTTTGGATTTTCATATCCACACTACTTCTCAATGATTGAATTAGCAAGCATCGATGCAACATGGCAATCGTTTATTCTGAATATTTTGGCGTCTCTAAAATGAACATACCTACCTTACATAATTAATCATAGTCTGGGGCCTGGGCTGTCATTAGAATTACACTCACGTTTCTCATGTAGTTGAGAACGCTCTCTCCATGTGGCCAGAGGTCGTCCATGTCGCAGTTGAGTGACATGACCCGGATGTCACGTGACACGTGCAGGTCATCGACGGCCTTGGCAAACAGCAGTGCGGCGTCGTACAGAAGTGCTGCCTCCGTCTGTAACAGCGCACATCAGAGGCGTGATGAATTGTCAGCAGTCATAGTGCGGTATCTATGGCGGTAAACATCTCGTTAATTGGCTGAAAAACAAGTCTGCTGAGGGCTACAGCTATATAGCACAGATTCCTTAGCCTTACGAACTGACGTTATGCTTGTTGCATTCAACAGCAAAGTAATATGAGGTAGCTACTAAAGGCATACTAATGGCATGTAGTATAAAACGGCATAAAACGTTTTTTTTTTTAATAATCTTAATGGCAGTGACCGAGAATAATCCACAGGGCTAGGCTACTCTCCTTTCTGCAGGCTCTTCTACTAAAGTCTGCAAAGGTCAGTCCGTCGCGACCAGCCCCAGGCCGTTAAACGGTCGTTTAGGCCTCAGATTGAGTTAGATGGACGATTCGGCGGAATCCGACCGTCGAAAATAAATAACTGTAAGCGGTTCCAAAGGAGCAAAAAAGGCCGTTCAACATTTTCCAAGTCGTATACCATCGCCCAATCCTAGCTTCAGTGGCTGGCCCATAAATCAAAGCCAGCCACCAGTCCACTCGTGTCGGCGACATTCATGCTTCAAACTGGGGTTATTCGTTTATCATAACGCCGATTTTATGGAGTGTCCGGCGACCATCGGGCGGTGTTTTACAGCCTGACACCTTGACGGACAGCACTCCCGGTCGGTGACAGGGTGCTCCATACACCCCGGGAGGCCGGGAACGTCCGAAATTCTGCCGGTGAGCCGGTGGATACAGCAGCATCGACCGCCGATGGTCGAGGGTGGGCTGGCCGGCCGGCGGCGCCGGTTTGCGGGGAGAAAACGGCGACGGCGGCCTGCCGATAAAGCCGGGCTGAGAGCTGCTGTCGCCAGCGGCGGGCAGACGTCTCGGCCAGACAATGGACGAGCGACGATATTGGAGAGGCTGTCGGCGTTCCAGCACCAGCCGACGTCGCGTACTCGCCCCAAAACGGCGACCTGGGTCCCAAAACAGCTGACGTGGGGTGTGAGGGAGAAGGTCTCGGCTCGGGAATAAAGTGCATTGTCAAGATTTGAAAATGGTAGTGTTGGCAAAGTTACCTACTACAGCTCAATTGTTATTCAGCGCACGCTTATTGTGAATACATAATTCGTGTTCACTGTTTATGGCTTCGTCGCTTACATATGTCGTGATGATTCTGTCGTTTGAGGCTTGACTCAGTGGCACAGCTGAACACTTGTAAAGTCATATTTGCCCAGAACACACCTCTGGGCCACTCTCCGTTACTGTATTCCGCTCACCGTTACGTATTCACGGTGGGATATCCCACCCTCAATAGCCCTCCGAACAACACCTCCTTCCGTACAGACTACACGTACAGCCCCTCCCTCTGCACAGGCCCTCCCTTCATACTCCTCCCTCCGTACCCTCCCTTCGTACCCAATCTCCGTACCCCGCCCTTCGAACGGTACCTCCCCCGCACCCCGCACCCCCTCCCCCCGTACGACCCCTCATCAAGTCGCTTTCGGTCCATGTGAGCCGGACGCCGGTCGATGACAATCGATACGGGCCGCCGTCCCCTACATAAGCAGCCACGACGCCGAGTGCGTGGCATTCGATTCGAGCGAGTGATTCTGTCCGAGCCAGGTGAGCCGTGTGTCCAGGGACCTCTATATAACCAACGACGACGCAGACCAGTGAGGCATTCGGTTCAGGCGAGCGATTCGTTTGGAGTTAGGCATATTCGACTCAGTCAGTTTTTCGGTTCCATTCACTCGTTCAATATTTGGCTCTCGACACCGGTCAATCGGTTGTGGACGGTAGCACGAGTGTATCCACAGGCGAGTGGACACCGCTTGGAGCAACACAGGTGACGAGGAGCTACGCAACTTCAATCAAGTAAGTCCCCGGTGTCGCCGGTCTTTCTGCGACTTTACCGCTTTGATCCTATCCAATTTTCCGGAATATCAAAACTGTCTTAAATTATGTCGATTGACTAGCCTGGCTAGCATGGTAAGATGGGTGTCGGCCGTCGGCCGCCCGCTCCTGCGATTTTCCGATTCTGGAATGCATGTGAGTGGGGTGCAGTTGCCAATATGCCATCGCCGCGCCATTTCTTTGCTACTATAGAGTGATAGTTTCATATAAAAAGTAGCAATAATTGTTGAAGCATCATCTCACACCGAAAAAAAACTTCCTCCATACAGACTCTTTATAGTGTAGCTTTCACTGTTCATCACCCCTCCCTCCGTATACCCCTGCACCACATTCCCTCCCTCTCACTCACGCTGAGCCGTCTGGGGGAGACGGTCACGTGCCGTCCCCGTAGTGCCTCCGCCTCCTTCCAGCTCTGCACCTGCCTGATGACGTCATAATCGTCCGTGTTCACCAGCCGCAGACCGGTGATGTTGGTGCCCGCGAACTGGAAGTCGTGCAGATCCACCGTGTGCAGGTCCTGCCAAGGAGACGATGGGATTTATTTGAGCACATACACTAAATACAAAACCGTTAAGAAAGAGGATTCTTCTACCCTTTTTTATGTTTCGCTTCTATGTCTTCATAAAATCACATCAATGAGCACAATGGCGGATCCAGCCGGACATGTTGGGGGAGGGAAGGGGGGCAAATGGCCGAAAAGGTCCGTTTCTTTCCATGCACCGCCATAGGCGTAATGTTAAAACTCGGGTGGGGGGGGGGGGCAAACGGGCGGGGGGAGCCATGGCCCTAAATGCCCCCCCCCCTGGATCTGCGAGTGAGTGAGCACATGCATTTCGTCATTTTATAACTATCTAGGTGCCAGAAAACAGAATAAGAATACTTGTGTGGCCTGAAGTGCGCCTTAGGCCTCACTCCCCATCATTACTGACCAGGTTGGTGAAGAAGTAGTGGTAGTAGCGGGTGACCATGCCAATCTGCTGCGCCTGCTTCAGCACCTGGTAAATGTTCTCTGCAGAGCAGTCCACCACTAAATGGGTGCCGCCGGAGTTCTGAATTCCCTTCAGCAGCATCCTGCACGGAAAATGAAAAATAAACGACATTCATTGGATTGTTGACAGAAGTCTGACGGATGGAAACGAATGAGAGAAGCCAAATAAATGATTGTAAGGTCTTTAGTGTAAACTGCATGGTACAATAACATGCCAAAGAAATATGACGTTTGTAAAACCAATGACCCTAGTCCCTAGTCGATAAAAGGATCCGTTGCGTACGCATGGCTGGTGTTATGTGTCCGCTAATAAGTGCATGGTTCTGGGGAGGCCAGGTTCGTCCGTTTTTAATTAATTATCTCATTCTTACCTGTAATCCATATTCGCCGGTAGTTGTCGAACGGTCATTGATATTTTATTATTTGTATTCATCATTCTCAAAACCCTTTGTAGACGGACTAGAGAGTTGTTGTCCTCATAGAGGACGTGAAATTTAGTCCATCGCAGGGTTTCCAGAATATCGACGTAGGTCTGAAACGAATCGATATTGCATATTAGCTGGGAACAGCTGGACGACGACCAAAGTCTGAAAAAGTAAGCAACGTTATATGGCTAACATTCTAAAATCGAGTACATCCCAGTCCCGAGCGGCAAAAGTACATACATGCCTACACGTAGATCTGGAGCAAATCATTGTGATGTGACCTTCATTGTGACCTTCATACTGACTAAAGTCCTGAATTTACTGACCGGCGACCTTATCTCACCTGGCTCAGTGTCTCGGCGTGGGGGTACAGGCTGACCGAGAAAGGCTCGCTGCGCCGCCGGTACCGCCACGAGGTGGTCATATGCGGCACAGATTTGGTGTCACACAGACTGCGAACGTGCGCAGCGGTCGGCTCGGTGGCCGGCCCGATGATGGCGCCCACACCCACCTTCAGAAGGTGGCACACTGTCGGACAGACAGCAGGAGGGTCACCTGACTAGTCGCAGACGACACAAGACTACCGGGCAGACGGCGGGTCCGAGTCAGATGGGACAGACGGGTTACAGGCGACAAACGACAGAAGATAGACGGATTAAAGAGGACAAACCAAAACTGGGTCACACTGGTGGACCAGACGACCTAAGATGGGTCATAGAAGGGTCACAGCTGGGTCACACAGACAAAGAGAAGACAGACGAGTTTAAAAAGGACAGGCGAGTTCCGTCAGATGATAGACGGGTCCAGAATGACGTCGGGGTCTTAAAGAAATAAGACAGGTCACAGACGACAAGCTGACTATCCTTCTTAAAACTCGAGAGCCTTTGAAATGCCTTGATGACACTTCGCATCTGCAAACTGCTAGAGCACCGTAACAACACTAAATCCAATCCTATCCGGCAACTTATGGCAGTCATTCAACCTCTGTCTGAGCCACCAGCCATTTCATTAGGACTGCTAACACAAATGTTTTCATCAGAATACAAACTGCTGAAAATGGCTGGGCTGTTGCAAGCTGCTGCCCGATGCAATGGCTGCAGCGACGGAGCGTTTCATTCAGGGGATTTATCACAAATAGGGTAAGTGCGTGGTGCACTCCAGAAGTTTTGAGACTTTTTCAGTAGAGACAGTTGTCTGTTTCAGAGAAGCATGAAACTTGTATGACTCTCGAAATGGAACCTCCCGAGTCTAATGCACCTGCTTTAGCGCTCCTGTCACTGTCTGAAGGCCTGCTGATAGGCCTTCAAAGTGAAGGTGCCCAGGGCCTCTGTCACAGCCTCACTCATCTCCTCCACATCCTCCGAAAGACGCCCCTGAGCTTCCCTGTCAGTCTGTGGAACATCCAGAAGCCACGGGGGCCAGATCAGGACAGTGGGAAGGTTACGGACGGTTTTGTCGCTCATCTGTGTCAGATAGTTCGTCTCCATGGTGGACTTGTGGGTGTGTGCGCTATCCTGGTGCAGGAGCCCCTGGCCACAGTTGAAGAGTTCCGATCTCTTGCGGCGAAATCTCTTTCTCAACTCCCTCAGAACCTTCACGAATCATTCCTTGTTGACCATCTGGCCGTTTAGGGGACCCATGTTATGAAGTTTCAAGTTTTTGCCTTTTTGTTCTAAGTAAGGGATTAATTTGAGCTTCCCAGTGGACCTGCGCCCCTTTCTTTATTGGGTCTGAAGGAGTCAGTGCGTTTTCATTGGACCTTCTGTCTCTTGGTCTCATGATGGTAAAAATACATCGAGCTTTCGTCTCAAGTCACTTTAGAGTCAATTTGCTATGCTTCTCGGGCATTTTTGCCAAGCTAATCCCAAAATTTTATTGCACAGCGACCCTCCAAGTTGTCTTCACATGAACAACCTGACTGTGCTCTACACTGGTCACTGTGACAAGCCGCGTGCGACTTGCCATGTTCAGGGTGACACCGTTGCCGTCTTTTGCAACGTAGAAAAGCAAAATTACGCAAGTACGTTTATAACAACTGTGGTAGGGACTTGTGAGAACAACAAGTATCTAGCACTGTTCATAAGGGTTTTGCGAGGCCAGTCTCAAAACTTCTGGAGTGGACGACGTATTTGGCCATGTGGGCGGCATCTTACCTCGTGCAATCGGGATGAAGAGGGCTTACCTACCCCGTTTGGGCGCGTATTTGACATGTTACCCCTATTGGCCGTGTAGTCAGTGCGTAACCCCGTTTGGCCGTGTGGACGGATCGTTACCTGGTTCGGCCAGAGGCCGACATTTTACTCCGTTAGGTCGTATGGTCGCTGCGCTATCTCGTTTGGTCTTGTGGCCGTTGTTTTACCCCGTTTTGCCATGTGGGAAACCGTTTTACCCCGTTTATTAGTGTGGACGGTGCGTTACCTCGTTTGGCCGTTTGGAAGCCGTTGCTGGCGGGCACGCGCTCCACCCGCGGCACGATGGAGGTGCCCTCAGCCTTGATGCTGCTGCTGGCCCGCTCCACGCCGTACCGAAAAGCCAGCTCCCGCGCCGGGTCCGACTCGTACTGGTCAAACAGCGCGCCTGGGGGCGGCACAGACACGTGAGGTGACGTCATGAATGGCACACCTCAACGGCAGTCAGTGTTCATTGCCATTAAAACTGAAACAAATACAGACGTTACCTGTTAAGCGCGAGCACAGTACCTGGATGCCATATCGTGAATAACCCGATGCTTTTACTGCCTGGTCAGTTTCCTTCCCCATACATACGGAGATACGGATTGGTACATGCCGTGCCCTGACTCGCTGTCTATAAACAAACTTATCTGACCCCGACACTAAGCCAAGAATCATGTTGATAAATAGGTTCAGTAGCCTAACGATGGAGTCAGATACCGACCGGCACGAGGTCTTTGAAACGTTGGTTAGAAGTAACTAAGACATCGGTATAAAAACGTAAAGTCAGCTTTCCAAGCTCAGCAGGCTGGCATATTGTGATTGTTTTACATTATTGAAACTATTTTGGATATTCATTTCATAATCACACATCTACAAATAAACAAGATCGTTCGGCATGCAGGTAGGCGCATGTCGCAAGAAGCAATGGCCTTTTGGCGATTGGCATCCAATGATTGGCATCAGCGACACATTTTTATCTAGGTACATAGGTAGTAGGTACCTACGTCATCTTCGCTCCGCGGCTGTTTTTGAGTTCAGCTCGTGCTCCGTCCCCCCCCCCCCCCCCAGCCAGCCGCGATTCTCGTGTGAGAGAAATAAACAAAGTCTGGACGACACACGCTCCTGCCGGCTCAGGCTGCTGTACAGTGAACACATATCGGACCAGCACGGGCGCGTGGACGGTCACAGACCAGCCCAGAGAGTGCACACGTGCACTACTTATCGTAATGTGAATAACGGATCTGGGCTGCGACTACAAACGCGCAGATCACTGGTATCGCGGTCGGAGATGCAAATGACCATGTTTTGCACCAGGTCCGGACAGTATTAGAAACGGGTCAGGCCATTGCGTAATTACTGTGTGACGGAAGGTCACACATCGGCATTCTGCAAAGAAGTGGAGACGGGAGACCAAGGCCAACTGAATAGCTGACATATATCGACATACACGCCGTCAACTTAGATCAATGTGTTCCGTATAAAAATAAACCAGCCACGCACCTGCGTTACAGATGCACTTGAGAGAATCATTGCTCATCGAACACCAATAAGACTACTAACCCGATTATCCTAACAAAGTATTCCGTATGGACGCCTGTGTTTCTCAGAAGGGCCCCAGTCCCTAATTGGGTAACGAGGCGGATAGCTTGGATAACGCGCTGCACGTCAGATGCAGTCTCCGATGTGAATTGCGTAAATTACGCGAAGCCAAGTGCTGAAATTGGGTGATTAAGTCTAATAAAGTGGAATGAGCTGGTTTAGACGCTTTGACAGTCCCCTGAAGACTGCTCGTGCAGGAATGCAGGCGTCGAGGGGGGAGGGGGGGGGGCTGGAAAATGGACTTGCAGAAAAGGGATGGGTATTATAAGAGAGCCGGAATCGACTCTTGCGAGGAATGAAGGAAAAAACGTCAGAAGCGGATTGAAAAGGCTGCTAGTTCTGACAAACATGCAAACGAATCTAAAATGTCATAATCGGTGATAGAGTGAAGCTTATCTATAATGCAATTATTTCACACGAGTTGTACGCAGTGAAACTTAAGAACTATAAATTAACCGTCCGTCGATCATGTTAAACGTTATGCTCACTTTCTCACTTTCCACTAATGATGACATTGTGGCCAAAATTGTTTTTATTTCACGAAGAGCCCTCCATAAAATTTAATGTCATGGAGGAGCTGAGCTGACCTGAGCTTATATATTTTAGGTATATCTTGCAACATTTATTTTATGTGTGCATGATAAACGTTCTTTTTATTTACTTCGATGTCAGTTATTTTTTCATCTAAAAGCAAATATTAACGGCATCTTCATCAAATCTGCATTTAATACCAGCACAGCAGTCTATTCTTGGTCGTCAGAGTCCACAAACGGAGACGGAACGACTGCGCAGCGCAACAGACAGCCCATCGCCCCAGTCCCAACAGGCGCCATATCAATGGAAAACAACTCGTCGGCGCGGAAGCGGCGATAGCGGCTCATTCGCCGCTCGGCTGGCGCAGCTCGGAGCCTCTGGGAGCGCCGAGCTGCCGCAGCTCCCTGGGGACCGCTCCGGCAGAGCTGACGGGCCGAGCTGCCGGACCGAGCGAGCGGCCTCCAGAGATCAGTCGCCGGCGCCATATTGATTTCGACGAACGGTCGGAGCAAAAAGCGTGTGGAATACGGAGAAAACTGGGGTAGGGTGTTAGTGGAGGCAGGGACAGTGAATGACATAATTGGATCTCTGGGTCAGTTATGGGTTCGTGCTGCCATCATGCCATGTTTCATCCCTTCACACAGCTGGTCTGCGGAGTGTCCTTTTCTCGCACTGTTCGATCGCCGGCACACGATTCCCGACCCACATATTGCTACGCCCGGGTGCTAAGTATGCCAGGCTCACCACCCCCCAGTGCATATGTTTTCCGGGTCGCCAGCGGCGCCCCCGCACCCTCCCCCACTCCCAGGCGTCCCTCCCCATCCCCGCCGCCACCACCGCTGCCACCGAGATGATGGATCCTCGCAGATGGTGTCGGCCCGGCCGCCCGGCCGCCGGCAAAAAGTTTTGTGTAGTGTTGATGCGCGACCCGGACTTCTGGTGCTGACGGCTGTAACGAATGGTGACCGAGCTGCTGTAACGAATGGTGACCGACCTGCCGAGCCGCGACCGGTCAGCCGACCGAGCCCCGACCGTCAAGCTACGGCCGTTGAGCCCGACCGGCACGATGACAGTCCTGGGAATCCTGGGGCAGCTGCCGAGCCGCAGCCAGCCCTCGAAAATGGGATGATACTCGACACTGAAGCTACACCAAAATGCTGCTGACGTTCGCTCTGCAGATCGCCGGTCTGCAGCGCACTTCTTTAATAGTTGAAAAGCGTTTCGTTCAAGCGAACGTTTTGTTTGCACGGATTGTTCAACGTTGTTCTGGTATCCACTTAACAAGTCAGGATGACGGGGTCGCTTTAGTTATCTGGAAGCGTGAATGAAAATACATTCATCATTATTGTTTATTTATCGTGTCTTTATATCGCGTGTTTATTTATTTATATTTAATCATGTCTAAAGAAGCATAATGTGTCTACGTAGGTATTCTTTAAGTCCATTTTTTCGAACTTTCTTCCCCAATTTATCTTCTTTTTCTTTCTCGACTTCATTCGCCGTCCCATTTTATTATCTGCCTTCCCCGATTTCTCTCCTCCTGCCGTCTCGTCTCTCCTCAGCCCCGGCCCGCTCCCCAGATTTCCCGCCGACGGCGACGGGTCCGGCCGGCGGGCCGTTTCCGTCGTCGTCGGCGGCGGCGGCCGTCAGCGTCGCTCGCCACTAACGAAGCGAGGACGACCACTTCTTCACGCCGAATTATCGGCCCTCTGGGTCCGGCACGACCTGCGCTGAATTGCGACGACCAGAGAAGACGGTTCCCGATCGGAATGGCGACGGCTGGGGATTTGGGATAATATGGTGTGCGGTGTGATGAGAAAAAGCTTCACATCTGTAGTCGCGAAGAGACGAGTCCAATAAGGGAGAACAAATAAGAGGACAGTTGCTTTCTCTGTTGTGGCCGACTTATCCGCCTTTACTGTCTCATTTGAGCGCGCCAATAAAAGAGGATTTCACTGGGCTTACATAGTTCTGGAAAAGGACCGAGGAGGAGAGTTAGAAGCTTGAGCTGAAGCTGGGTTGACACGTTTGTGGCTTCAGATTGAAACTGTGCTATACCTACGTTTTACAGTTGCAACTCCGAACGAAAACAGAAAGCTGTACCCTTAAAGAGTAGTCAACACTTTGATCAGCTCTCCCTTTGCTACATTAGATAAGACAGGATCAAAGGGAAATTCCCGACCCGTTTCCCCTTTCTTGGAGAATGGGGCATTGAGGTGTAAATATTGGGTGATCACGACCTCCGACCTCACCTCGCCTCTTCCATACACAATATGGGACGGATTGGGGACAGTGGACGATTCTATCCTCCCCCTGTCATGGTCAATAGCTTAGGGCCAGTGCCAAGGCCGTCTCTGCCCTACTTGTCTCGCCGCTATATCCATGGATCATTCAGCAGTCGGACCCCTGAGGCACCCGTCCCGCCCGCCGTCCTCGACACTCGGTCCCTGCGGCCGAACCACGACGTCGACGCGGCATGGAGCGGACGGGGAGGGGCGGAGGGGAGGATATTGTCACGCCCCGTCGATGGTGGTCGGCAGAGACGGCACTGGACGTGGATGGCACTTGATGAGGTGGCGTCAGATGGACGGGAAGGGTATAGCAGGAGGGACCGGAGTGGGGCGGCGACTGGCGACTGTCGCTACATAGAAGATGTAGAAGATCGGAGTCATTGGAAGCTTGAAAGAAACAATGGAAAAGCGCGATGAATTAAGTAATTACAAGGAAAGGAATATCCTGGAATGAACAGCTAGCAAAAATATGTGAGCAAACTCACAGTTTGACTATAGGCAAAAACAAAGAACATCTAGCAGTTTATTATTGCGATATTTTCAGCTGACCGCCCACTTACCGATTGTGATTGTGTTGGTGGCGTCCGACAGTTGACGCTCTAGCACCAGCAGAAGCAGCACCAGTGGCACCAGTGACGAGCACGCCATGGTGCTGTTTCACCACCTGCACCGCTCCCGGTCACCCGAGAGGGCTCGAGCCGGTGGACCGACGGACGCGCACCACCCCAGATGTCTCCTCTCTCCCTCCACTCTCGGGGAATCTGCCGGAAAATTATTCAAATCAGTCCGGAATGTCTCGCACTCAGGAGCTCAGAATGCATGAAATGTCGACAATAACGTCTTGATTCGTTGCATCTCGGGGCTCCGAGGGAGCTGAGGAAACGAGAGGTTAAAATTGGCAACAGCTGCAGGAGCAGTTGTTAAACTATAACCGAGAGGCGAAGGGTCTGTGCTGACACTTTTAGCGATCAGCATACATAAATCGTTCGACGTTCATTGAATCGATCAGATAAATAAAAGTCATATGAATAGTTCAGTCTAATGATCAGACCACAGCTCGGGACTAAATCATCACATATGACCTTATCGAATCCGTAACCAAAGATAGCTTTGACCTGGCCACTGGCCCGGCCCCTGTTGCCTAAGCATGTTGCACTAAAATTTAATTCAGCTCTTAGTACAATACACTCGGATGTGCTTTATACATCCGAGGTAGGTACCGATGCCATCATGTATGTGCTCTCGAAAAGATGGCATTATGCTTGACTTGACACATGATCAAAACAGCTTAAGTAACCTTTTACGATGTCAGAAGGAGAAGCGTCATTTGTGCCTTTTTTGTTGTTTATTATCCGTCTACCCCTTTAACCCTCGCCGGCACAGGAGGGGGGGGGGGGGGTGATGCAACCCCCCTAAGGTTTTTCGCGAATAACTCGCGTGAAAAGCGGCCGATCGCGACGAAACTTTCAGTACCCTCGCATTGATCATTTTACACCTACCCTCAAAATTTCATGACCCTGACCCCAATGACCTTTGACCTGTGACCTCTTTTCCGTGACCATGTTTGGCCGAAATCGCGATTCGGCGTATGTCGGCTCGCATTAGCCGCGCGTTTGCAAGCTTTTCGTAGTTTCAAACATTCAAACATGTGATTTGATGTTGCTCCTATACAAAAGGGTGGGTGTCAAGGTCACCCGAAGGACAGGTCAGGTCATTGACCTTTGGTGACCTCGGTTCACTTTTTCGAGTTTTACATGTTTCTAGGCTAGTTTTTGGAGCTGAATTCGAATTTAGCAACCATTTGAACATTTACGAAGTAGTTTTGGTGCCTTCGTAACATGTTACGAAGCTGTCAGAGGCGGTTGACACGTATTACGAATACCCGTCACGACCCCTACCGGTTGACCTGACCTGACCTGACCCGACCTGGTCTAAACGCTTAACGACATCATCTGTGATCAAAACTAACACGATATTCGTGATCAGCACCCCGGAAAACCCCTTAGCAGCCATGCTTTACGAGTTTCTAACAGGTCCCAATATTCCCGATTTTGGGTCATTGACCTGACCTGGAAGGTCAACCGATGACCTAGGACCTTAAAATTGGGTATCATTGGCTTCGTCTCGTGACGGGCAACACGCTAGTTTTTTTTTCGCGAAGCTCTATAGCTCCATCAGGGGCCAAACGCGAGGGGGGGTCGTACCAACCCCCTTGTGCCGTCGAAGGACTCAAAATGGCCTGTGCCGGCGAGGGTAAACCTTCGGTGGTGGGGGGCATTTTTTGCCCCCCCCCCCCTTAGTTTTTTCAATATATCTCGAGAACCGCTGCGCCGATCGTCACCAAACTTTCAGTACCCTCCCGGGAGCAGCTAGCGCACATGGTGACCAATTTTTTTTCCAAAGGCTATTATAGGTTGGCCGCTAATGACGTCAGAGTGACGTCATTTTTGCCATTTTCGACCCAAAAAAAGGTTTCGCGGGAAGAGCTGTCAGGCCTACAGCTTTAGAGATACAGAAAAACGTTTTCGACATAAAAGGTGTGGAATTAAAAGGCCCACAAAACTGCTATTTCGGTTTTTCGATTTTTTTGGATTTTGACCCCCAAAAAATCAAAAAATAGATTTTTGAATATAATAGCCAAAAAATCATTTTTTTTTTGAATTTCGAAAAAACCGGAATATATGTGATAGTCCCTACCGCCTTCTATCTACATACCAACTTTGAGATCGATACCTCTTTTTTTGGCCAAGTTATAGCGAAAAATCTGTTCAAAATTGATGACGTCAAATTTTCAAACTCGATTTGTAGCAATTCCAGACCTCGTAGCGCAAAACAAAGACCAACATTAGACTCCCCGTTACGAGCTGCATCGAATCGATACCCATTTTATGCAAAAATATCAACTTTGAAATTTGACCTTTTTTACCTGACCTTGACCTGACCTCCACCAGAAAGTGACCTCAACCGTACCTGATGGTCTTATAACTAACACCATTGAGTTGGAAATGAAAAACTGGTCATAAAACATGCATCACATAACCTTAGTAAAGTTGGGCTCATGTGGTGACCCTTGGTGACCTTTGGTGACCTGACCTGTCACCTGACCTGGTATGACCAGTGACCTTTAACCCTCGCCCATGTAGGGGGGGGGTTGGTGCAACCCCCCCCCTGAGGTTTTTCGGAAATAGTGCAAAAACGGCGGCGCGCAGCGCCGCCAAATTTTGAGTACCTTATGGAGCAAACCTTGCGCATCTTTTGATAAAAAAATTTGACCGGGTCATGTCAGGTCACGGAGTTATGACGTCACAAAGGGAACAGCCTCCGGCCGGATTTTCACAAACTGAGTGCCAACGCCCGAGGTTTCCTGCCGGTGGTACGGACATCGGTTGATGGATCGTGATGAAACTTCCCATGCATGTTGGGGCAAGTATTGGCTATCATATGGTATAAGAAACTTGACCGGGTCAGGTCAGGTCACGGAGCTATGACGTCACAAGAGGAACAGCGTCCGGTACTATTTTTGAAAAGCGTCCGAACCACTATTTTGCTAATTCTTGTCACCTCAATGGGAATATGCAGCAATATTAGCTTCTATAGGGAGCAAATGGACATCCCAAATCCAAAAACACAATCAGATTTCAAAAATTTAAATTTTGATTTTTCGAATTTCTGCCGCCGACTGTGACCTTGCCGACTTCCGGCGCTCTCAACGCGCCATTTTTAGAGCTAGGGAAACGAAATACATACCAAACGATAGAGAATTGATCAAGGAACACGATAGTGAAGGTTTCAAGTCGATATCTCCCACCGTTTTGCCGCAATCGCCGCGGAAAATTTGAAAAAGTCTATTTTTCCGAAAATTTGACCTTTGACCGGTCAAAAGTAGGTCAAATGTTGACCTAGGACCAAAAAATATACCACCAATCGCGAGATCTCGGCGAGAGCAATCCGTTGGTCTTTTCCGCTAAGCTCTACGACGCTCCGTTTTCAAACGCCAAGGGGGGGGGGGGGTCGCACCAACCCCCCCCCCCTGCATGGGCGAAGGTGGCAGATCGCCGTTTACGGGCGAGGGTTAATAGCAACATATGTACTAGACAACTGACGCCTTATCGCTGATTTTCGACAAAATGCGTTTTACTCGGTGTTATAGCGCTTTCCCTAGAAGCCCTGTGAACGGTGAAACATTTTATCTTTGACCTGACCTGTGACGTCATCGGTGACCCCGAGGTCAATGGAATTTGGTTTCCTTCGACAAATTTGACAGGGCTATCGAACGCCGTTTGAATTTTCCGGATCCGTCCAGTAGTTTCGGAGATAGGGGGGGGGGGCAAAAAAATGCCCCCCCCCCCCCCACCGCGCGGAAGGTGGCTGGTAGGCCCACCGCCTGCCGGGTTAAGGTTTCATGGTTGCTGTCCTTGCTGAATTTTCCACCCGGGCCTTAGCCGGTAAGCAAGGAGGAAAATAAACAAGGACCGAGGTCGTGAAAACAAATGTTTTCGGCCAAGTCGCACGTAGTGGTATTAAGTTTACTGGGCAGCCATCAAACAGGACTCACGTACACTTATCACATAAGTCGCAATGGCCAATGGCCGGCACTGGCAGCCTGGAATATTACCGATATGCTTAGGCTGAAAGCTGCTCGATTCAGTCGCTGAGATATGCATAACGAGGTCACTGATTAACGAGGTCACGACCGGCGCAGCTCAGTGCAGACGCGTGCAACTGACCGTTTACATAATACATTCATTCCCGTTAAGCTTAAAAGTAAACGGTGAGCCAGCGATAGACAAAAGAACTCGAAACGAGCATCACGCAAGTCACAAACGAATCGCCCGAGCTGTCCACCAAAGAACCAATGCACCACCGAGGTCGGTTTAATGCCAGGCTCAGGTTCATGTATCTTGGTATCCGTGTTCATTCACATGAATGTTCTCAGAACTTCTCTAAGTTTAGTACTTTATCCTAACGGAACTCTCTAAAGGGACGAGACATATAAAAATGAGCAGGAACATACGCTTTCAATTTTACGTGTATACTTTAGGCATTAGCAATGATTATCATTGCGTGTAAATACCTAAATATTCTCATAAGAAAATAGGAAAGATTAACATCAATGCCTAATGAGATACCTACGCCCTACGGCATAGCTATACTCTGAAACACTGGCCTACGGCGATGTCTGACGATTGACTTTTTCAAGTATCCGTCTTATATCGCGATAGAGGACGACCTCCGAGAAGGATGAGCCGAGAGCCGGTATCACGACAGCCGTGGGTCCCCAGCGCAGTGAGCTCTCGACTCCCGCAGAAACACTGCCGACTGTCTAATAAACAGACCACTATTTGTGGGCCGACTGACATCACTGCTCATCGCACTAAACACCGCAGCGAGTCGCATGCTCGCACCATCTCAGTCATATCTGGACACTGCAGAGAGTTTGGACCATAAGTCGTTATATGCTAATCCATATAGTGTTGCAGGACTTGCCCCATTTATAAACGTTTAAAGTTCGTGATTGTTCCGGTTCGCAAATTAATGGATATTGGACAACAACGCACAACTTTGTGCATGCTTATCCCACGGATGAACACTTGTTTCCATAACACGGCTGACAAAATGAATGACTCATTTACAGAAAATTCACTAAAAGGAAGAGACGAAGGAAGTTAAAATGGGCGTTCTGTCCCGGTATCAGAGCAAGCCGTCCTCTGCAGATGGGCAGAGAGCACGACCCGGAATAATACATCGCTTGGTAAGTATCCGTAGTTACTAGTTAGATAACGATTATATGTGCTAAAACTCAACCAAAAACTTTCGCTTCTACAAAACGTTTTAAATATTAACCCTCGCACGACCAGGCCATTTCTCATAACACGAACGACCAGGGGGGGGGGGTTGTTCCCCCCTGGCGTTTCGAAACGGAAGGTCGTAGAGCTTAGCGGAAAAAACCAACGGATTGCTCTCAACGAGATCTCGCGATTGGTGGTATATTTTTTGGTCCTAGGTCAACATTTGACCTACTTATGACCGGTCAAAGGTCAAATTTTCCGAAAAAAATCAAACTTTTTCAACTTTCCGCGGCGATTGCGGCAAAACGGTGGAAGATATCGACTTGAAACCTTCACTATCGTGTTCCTTGATCAATTCTCTATCGTTTGGTATGTATTTCGTTTCCCTAGCTCTAAAAATGGCGCGTTGGGAGCGCCGGAAGTCGGCAAGGTCACAGTCGGCGGCAGAAATTCGAAAAATCAAAATTTAAATTTTTGAAATCTGATTGTATTTTTGGATTTGGGAGGTCCATTTGCTCCCTGTAGAAGCTAATATTGCTGCATATTCCCATTGAGGTGACAAGAATTAGCAAAATAGTGGTTCGGGCGCTTTTCAAAAATAGTACCGGACGCTGTTCCTCTTGTGACGTCATAGCTCCGTGACCTGACCTGACCCAGTCAATTTTCTTTCACCACACGATAGCCAATGCTTGCCCCAACATGCATGGGAAGTGTCATCATGATCCATCAAACAATGTGGGTATCACCGGCAGAAAACCTAGGGATTCGGCGCACACGTTTGGTAACTGTCGGCCGGAGGCTGTACCTCTTATGACGTCATAACTCCGTGACCTGACATGACCCGATCAATTTTTTTCGGCAAAAGATGCGCAAAGGTTGCCCCAGAGGGTATTGAAAATTTCAGCCCGCTACGACAAGCCGTTTAGCGTGCACTTCGAAAAAAACCTCAGGGGGGGGGGGGTTGATACAACCCCCCCTAGGCGTTCTAGGGTTAATACTCGTACGTGTATCTAGCGACTACGGCCATCGCACCCGGTCTGCCGCAAGTTATATGTCATGGTGCGACACGGAAACATTCCTCACTCACCTCTACCAATCTGACCTCTCAGTCCGTTGTCACCTCCACTCCTACCGTCCAGCTCTTATCACCGTCTCGCCTACCACTCCCCACAACCACACGTCTCCACTCTCCTCGCCCGACACGCTCCACCCCCAGGCGAGCCCTCCGGCTCCCAGTCGCCACCGAGCGGCACTGACCGCCTAGCTCCGTCCGCCGAAGGAGCGACCGCTGCCACCCCGCCGCCGCCCCGCCGTCGCTCCTGGACGCCCCCCGGCCGGCGGCGGCGGACAAGGCGGCGTCGGTGGTCGTGGTGTCACAGCCCGTCACCTTTGTGCTCCTCGCGTACGGAAGATTAGTTTTCCGGCAGGCCGCGCTAATTCCTCGATTGGGCCTGCTGTCACGTCGTCGGCTGGCCCGGGATGTGGCTGTGGACGGAGAGTGGATGGAGTGTGGAAAGAGGGTGGACAGAGGACCAACGGTGGAAAAACAGTGGACGGAAGGTGGACCGAGAATGAACGGAGGGTGGACAGAGGGTGGACACAAGGTGGACGGATGGTGGACCGAGAGTGGACAGAGGAGAGGGGGCAAAGGGCTGGCTAGGGATAGACGGAGGGACAGCGGAGAATGGAAGGAGGTTGGAGAGAGATGGAAGGCAGACTGATGGTGGACGTAATAAAGCGCCGGGCGAAGTTTGGAACAGACCGTGGACAAAGGGTGGACGGACGGCGCAAAAGCTGGACAGCCTACGGAGGGTGGACTAAGCGTAGACCGGGGTAAACGGAGCACAGAAACCGGTGGAGAGCGGACGGGCGGTGGGCGGTGGACGGACGGTGGTGGACGAACGGTGGGCGGCAGGTGGACGGACGGTAGATGGAGGGCAGACGGAAGATGGCCACATGGTTGGTGGGATGGCTGTCGGCTGACAAAGTCCAGGCCAGTAGCGAGTGGCGGGGCAGACGGAGGGCGCGGGGACGGCCGTCGGTAGGCTGGTGTTCGCTCATGGCGAGACGGGGAGAGGAGAGGGCCGGGCGGACGGCAGTGACCCGCGCCATACGACTGACCGGGCGATACGCTCTGTTTGTTTACATCAGGAGTGCCGGAGGTCGAGGCGTCACTGAGCCCCCGGGGCGACACGGCCACGACGCTTGACTGACGAGACGAGACACAGCGAGACGGATTGTGTGTACTGTCGATTCTAAGATAAAATGTTACTGGTAGATCTTTATCAGAATATTGGGGTAAGATTTTCGAGGTGCAAAGCGCCCACTCTAAATTCTAAAAATGTCTTTAAAATGCCTTGCATTCTCTTCGGAGCGCATATTTTGTATGTCAATGCCATGGTTGACGAAATGTTAAATGAATCATTTCAAGTTGTGTGGGTAGGTAGGAAGTGGGTAGCAAGTATCTACTTTCATATTTTAGCCATAGTCGCACTTCTAACGTTTGGAATGGACCATAACCCCATAACCGATCAATTAACACGTTTACTCGTCGCACGCTGTTTTTAGCTGCAATTTAATCGTGCGGAGTAAGGGCGGTGCTAATTCAACAACCTTGAAAGAGCTGCGTCTGTTGCCTAGCAACCACGCGTCTTCATTCAGCGGCGGGGCGCGGGCGCTGAAGCTCTGGGCCGTTCTGTTCTGTTAATTTGTGTATTGTAAGCGTAAAAATATATTGAAGACAGCACATTAAATCGCTGAATGTTGCATAAGTCTTATGTAAAAGCCAGTTGCTTGTATTTCATAAAAGCGAAGCTGCTAACCCGAGGTAAGCAGCTAGGTTCACACCTACAACACTCACTCAGTACTTTACTCGAAATTAATTAATAAATTAACAAATTGATTTAGCCAAATAATTAACTACCATGTGCACTGGCAGTGCACGTTAATTGGATAGGTAGTTATGTGGTTGTGATCGGCTGTTGACTCTTGCATCTCAGCTCCTGTTCTTATCATTCTTTAGTTTTCTCAGCATTAAACTTAACCCTAGAACGCCTAGGGGGGGGGGGGTGTATCAACCCCCCCTGAGGTTTTTTCAAAGTGCACGCTAAACGGCTTGTCGTAGCGGGCTGAAATTTTCAATACCCTCTGGGGCAACCTTTGCGCATCTTTTGCCGAAAAAAAATTGATCGGGTCATGTCAGGTCACGGAGTTATGACGTCACAAAGGGAACAGCCTCCGGCCGGATTTTCACAAACTGAGTGCCAACGCCCGAGGTTTCCTGCCGGTGGTACGGACATCGGTTGATGGATCGTGATGAAACTTCCCATGCATGTTGGGGCAAGTATTGGCTATCATATGGTATAAGAAACTTGACCGGGTCAGGTCAGGTCACGGAGCTATGACGTCACAAGAGGAACAGCGTCCGGTACTATTTTTGAAAAGCGTCCGAACCACTATTTTGCTAATTCTTGTCACCTCAATGGGAATATGCAGCAATATTAGCTTCTATAGGGAGCAAATGGACCTCCCTAATCCAAAAATACAATCAGATTTCAAAAATTTAAATTTTGATTTTTCGAATTTCTGCCGCCGACTGTGACCTTGCCGACTTCCGGCGCTCCCAACGCGCCATTTTTAGAGCTAGGGAAACGAAATACATACCAAACGATAGAGAATTGATCAAGGAACACGATAGTGAAGGTTTCAAGTCGATATCTCCCACCGTTTTGCCGCAATCGCCGCCGAAAGTTGAAAAAAGTCTATTTTTCCGAAAATTTGACCTTTGACCGGTCAAAAGTAGGTCAAATGTTGACCTAGGACCAAAAAATATACCACCAATCGCGAGATCTCGTTAAGAGCAATCCGTTGGTTTTTTCCGCTAAGCTCTACGACCTTCCGTTTCGAAACGCCAGGGGGGGGTCGTAACAACCCCCCTGGTCGTTCGTGTTATGAGAAATGGCCTGGTCGTGCGAGGGTTAAGGATTAATCACGTCCATAAGCCGGTGTACTAACTTCGTTGTCTTTATTCTTCGCCGAAAAGTCTCTTTGATTTTAATCGACAACGATTGCTCTTCGTTGACCGTTATTCCGTATTGCACTTTGGTCCCGAGTCGTCACCTTTGCTGTTTTTGACCAACAGATGGCGCAGCGTCCGAGTACGCAGGCCCGCCAGGGCACGGCTGCTGGTCGGCTGGCCACCGCCGGTCAGCGGCTGGCTACTGGCGCTCAGCGAGCGGCAGGAGGGGGCTTCGGAGGAGGGGTGCGTAATGCAGGACGGTCACCAACAACCTGGACCGTTACCTGACATTCACTTAAAAGTGCATGAGCGAAGGACTAGATTCACACATACCGTTTTATATACCTAAAAGCTCAAACCATCGTACCAAGTGGCAGACAAGAATTATTTACGTCTTGTCTCTGCGAAGTAACCGTGCCTATCACCGACGTTTATCCTCGCATTGATGTCTCTCGTTGCCATTCAGTCGGCGCGGCAATTCACTATTCACTCACGTGTTTGCTGAGATAGCGGTGGTCGATGACATTCCAAACAAGGCCAGCGACTGTGCTGTTTGTGCTGGGACAGTGCCGATTATGGCGATTTTGTGTCAATGTTCTGTCCATGTTGATGCTTTAAACGATGTGTTTTCCGTCATCAGGCAGAAGGAGGCAGACCGATGACACGAGGAGGACTTGGTCTGAAGACTGGAGGCACTGGAGGTCGCAACCGGGCCGTTATGGACAAATCCTACTTCATGGGAGTACTGCGTACCAAGATCACGGAGATGACCACAGAGATACGACGCATGGCTGCAGAGTGTGACAAAATGGGACAGGACCAGGAGAACTTCGTCATCTACGACACACGCGCCAAGGAAAAGGCCAACGAACTGAGCGGCAAGTTATCTTTGTTATGCTATTTTAAAGAATTACCTTTCGTTTGACTGGTAGTGCTATGATTGATACCGACCAGCAACCCATTTATTTCATCTTGTTTTATCTGCCCCCTTCGCTCCCCCTTTCTTTCTCACTAGTCATGGATATCCATGTTACGTTATGTTCTTTTTTTTGCTCACCATGTTGAGTTGAGACGTTGACTTTTCAGCTTTGATCTCGTATTTCTCGAAACGCTGACCGTTTCTCGCTGTTGACGGAACAGGCATTCAGGCTGAGTTGGCGGACTACAACACGCTAGTGGAAATCATGAACATGGACTCGGAAAAACAGGTGGTGGATGAACAGACGGCAGCAATGAACGAGAAGAATGAGAAGAATCGCAAGCAAGTTGACAGTCTGTACCTCACCAGAAAGCAAAAGGAAGATGAGGGGATGCAGCTTGAAAGGGATATAGAGAAGGTGTGTTATCATTATGGTCCCTCTCTTATAGCGACAACTGGTTCATTGATGAAGTTGAATCTGAAGATGACGCGTGTCTTTCATTTTTAGCATCTATGTATGGGACTAAGTAAAGGGGTATGATGAAAAAATAATTTTGAATTGTTTCATAGTCTTATCAAGTGGAAAAGGAGGTGTACCTAAGCTGTCAACTTGCACAAATTTTTTTGTTTAATATGTATGTGCACTGAATTTGTTGGCAATCAAAACCCTGCTCTATAATCACCTTCTAATGTACATACTGTGTATATCGACGGCCGCTTGTCACTAAACAATGAAATTTTTTTAGGAGCAAGCCGTCATCGATAAGGTCTTCAACGAAATGTCTCAGAAAATGAAGGAGAAGTTCGCAGTATTGAAGAAGAAGACGGCGAACGCTGAAGCAGAAATCCAAAAGATTGCGAAGCTCATGGACGACGAGGATCTGAAAATAAGGAAAAACATGGACATCATTAACGCTTCTTCGGTAATGCCATGAATTAATATGGCGTCGATTTCTTTTGAGGTAGTGATTCTTACCGCATTTCACTCGCATACAAATGTCTCTCACCAATTATTTCCGGAAGTAAATGGAACCCCAATAGCGATGGATGTGGTGCAAACGTGTCTGCCAAAAATTTATATTCGGATTAATCTTTTAGTACTTAGTTTTCGAGATCATCGACCAACGAACACGTATTTACCGCAGATGAAGGCCGAGGCTTACTCGTTGTACAACAAGCTGGAGGAGCTAGAGGCGAAAAAGGCTGAGCTGCAGGAGCAAGTAGATCGTCAAGAGACTCCGGACGAAGAGCGAGAGAGACTTCTGAGAGAGGTTTGTCCATAAAGAGCATGATCATATCTTCGATCTATCACATGGCGCGGCGTCACCCATTTAAGAATTTGCAGAGACGCATTCAATCGAACTTGCCCGACTGGGCGATTCGTTGAATTGAACAGTCATACACAGCTTACAGCCGCTTATACATACAGTATGTACTATTTGGTTCAACAAAGCTGAATCTAAAAGGACGCTTTTAACTCTTGCATATCAAAATTCACTTCTTAAAAAATTATGTAAATTTGCTCTCTTCATAAAGTTCACGGTTCACCTGATATCACTGGCACCTCCGTGTATGTGTGTTTAGGTCAAGGAGAACAACGACGCCATTGCTACGATGGACAGGAAGGTGGCTGCTCTTTGCGAGGATATCTCCAACGCCAACGACGAGCTGGACGACCTGGATGATGAGGATGAAGGAGACGACGACGCCCCTCCTGCAGCGACTCAGGCCCGACAGGTAAGCCCGATGCCGTTAGAGGGCAGCCAGTGGACAGCTAGCCCCTGGATTATGCGTGATGGTCTCGTGAACTTTGTGTGCCGTTCATTTTTCACTGACTTATTTACTTTCTAGTATCGATTCGACCATATCCGCCTTACAACCAACCATCGGCATGTTATGTCAGACGCCTCTTTCTCTACAGTCTACATATATAGAGCAGCCTATGGTGCTGTTCACGCAAATAATTTTTATTCGTTTTCCATAGATTGAAGCCGATCAGGCGGGGCCGAAGCCGACCTAAGATCAAATGCTGACGTACTCCTCTTATATCTGACAGGACTCGGTAGACACCGAGAAGCTGATGAATCAGATCAGTGAGGCCAAGTCGGACGAGGAGCGGAGGGTGCTCCAGACGGAACTGGAGATAGTCAAACTGCTTCAGAGCATCAGCACCGGTCTCAAGTCCGATACCGACCAAAATGCGTGAGTACTTCACCCAGACAGATATTCGCTTTGCGACTAAAATATATTGATATTTTATCGTGACTGTTGTAGCTATCTGATGCAACATTCATATGTAGAGCTACGCTGTGATGTGGGCTCGTGCTTATATTGTATGCTATATAACTTATGACTATGAGTACGTCCTTCGCACTTCGTGTATCGGCTGTTTTATTGAACCCGGCAGCTTGGCTGTTGTTATATTTTCGCATTCGCACCGTCACGGTGGCATGAATACTGAAGACGTATTGTGGATTGTCACCAGCCTCCTCAGTGTCCCGTATTTGGTATTCACGAGTTGCATGTATCTGCCTTGGTTTGAGCGAATGTCGGCGTCGGCTTCGTCCGCAGGGACCAAGGGCTCGCTGACAGTGAAGAATGGCAGCATTTGAACGAAGTCGAAATGCAAGTCTACTCTGAAATAGACTCGCTGAAAAACAGCATCAAACGAATGAAGGACGATGCCGCAAAGTTCGCTGATCTGGACGGATTTAAGAGGGAGTGTCAGGTAATTTACATTTTTGTTAGGTAAATCACATTGTAATCAGATGTTTTCCGAGACGTATCCGCTGCCTCTTAAAAATAAAAGAACACCCGCTGATACCCAATATTGTTTGAGCAGGCTCGCCAGGCAGGACTTCATCAAGAGCATGTTCAGTTGACGGAGAAGACCAAGGAAGCACGGGCCGAGTGCGAAACGGCCGAAAACCAAAACAAGAAGATGCAGTCCAAGCTAAATGTAAGTGATAAGTTTGAATCTAACGTTCATATTTTATCCAACGTTTCACATTCAATTGTCAAACAGCCTTAGATCTCTCCTAATGCAACATCTTTTATTGATGGTATAGCTCGAGATGAAACTCATCGTACTAAAACGTTTCCGGTCGCGTACTTACGCCCCGTTGCGTGTTGCAGAGCGACGAGACGTTCTCAACGCTGGCGCAGCTGGAGCGCAAACTGGCCACTATCGAGGGGAACAATTTCGCGCTGCAAGAGACGGCGGCCGACCGACGGGCGCTCGGCGAGTACGAGCCGATCCGCGACCAGGCCATCGCCGTCTGCGCCGACATCAACAAGCGGCTCGTGGACCTCATCAAGAACAACAAGATCCCGACGTGATATGTGATCGGTGCATCACTGCAGGGCTACACAATGGATGACCGATGTGTGCGGTACAGGAAAATATGGGAATCAACCATGTTGCGATTTCCATATGTGCCTCTTGATGCATGAGTGTGACTGTATGCGCGAATTTGTTATTGTGCCAAGCAGCATGTTTATATGTTCCTTCCATGACTATTCTGATGCATGGACCGATACGTGGACTGTCGGGTATGCCGTTGCTGTATGTCGAAGTTGATCTCTGAACAATACATCCGGCTCATTGGCTTTGTTGTAGAGAAATCGATAAGGTATACCTTACCTACCATCTATATATGCCTACAAGATATATGGAAGAAAGATATAATAATGATGCGAGTCGACACAGCAAGGTCAATGTGCGTATTCGTAAGCTACTTACATACGGTATATACCAGGGAACATAAACGCTCAAAATCTTCATTCGCTAATCGCTGATGCCTGATATTACCTGAATCCAAACAACTATGCTATACAGCTATGAGCTAGGTAAATTCGCTTCTGAGAGTTCAGCAGCCCAGCTACTGTCGAGCGTTGACCGTATTTATTTCAATTTGCACTGCACGATGTAAGCTTGCGCCTAGAGCGATGGCCCGATCGTATCGGATGGAGGCGGAAGAGAGGCGTTTGAACGCTCGCTCCTATCTCGGCTCTAGCCTCTAATCTCACAAAGTGACGTTTGTTAGATCATACAGCCTAATTCAATATACTATACCCTGTCATACAGTCTCGAAGAAAGCACGGTGACTTTAGGTACAACATCTGAAGTACCTGAAGTAGGTACAACACCGGATGAAAGTACTTTTCTTATCCAAAGTCAGACCAGAGGTCGGATAACTAGAGGTCATCATAAGCTAAGTATTGTAGGTAACCACAACTGGCTGTTTTATCACAGTTAATTCGTCCGACGCCCATGCATGCACGAATGGACTTCAAAGTTATGCTTCAAGGTCACTGAGTCTGCATTGTTGAAAGAGCTGATGGATTTGCATCCAGCGAATCAAATGATGGCAGACCGGTCACTTTCGGATGGTCTAGTCGCGATCTTAGCCTCGATCAGGACGATAAGGATGCGTTGAAGTGGAAACGTTTAGTTGACATTTCGAGGTGACTCAGCACTTCAGTTCACCATGTCTTGCTATTCAAACGGCTGATTAAAACGCATTCGGTGGAAGTGGAATCGTTTAATCTAAAAAAAATTTCATCGACCCGGTAGTTGCTGAGCTAAAGAACGGCTGCAATAGGTGGAAAGGTCACTTTGACTTTTAGAGGTTTTTGAAGTCACATAAGGTCACCATATGCAAAGCTGGCGAACTCTTATAAAAATCACATGGAAAAGGATAGTTGCACAAAACGAAAGCGTCTAGATTGTGTTTCAAGGTCACCTGAGGTCACCACATTCCAAAATATTCATCAAATCATATACAGGAAAACAAAGTGCTTTCTTCTCGAATCACCGATCTACCTGGTTGCCGTTTTTAGTATGCGTGCACGTTTGGCAGTGGAATAGTGGTCAGCTGTAGAGCTCAGGTAGCTATAGTTACTTGCGTTTGCTGCTAGCAGTCATCCATGTCACTTTTTTGAATACGCAACCGAAGTCGTGACGTCACGATAAGTGGCTGGGGCATAATCAGCTGACGGCCCCGTGCTAAAGCAATGGGGCAATATTTTGCCGATCTTTCCCAAGAAAACTGGACCTAGTTAGATAGTTTTAGTAGCTGAATTTAGGACAACGATGTATGATCTATTTTTCTATGAAAAAATATTGCAAAATCTAACAACGCAAAGCACAAAATTTCGTGAAAACCTAATTGGCGGCGAAGTTGACGCAGAAATACAAAACATTTTAGATCAAGAGGTTTAAAATAATGGATTTAAAATAAAAAAGATTTTCAAAATAACTTATATGGTGAATTTTCTCCTTCGCTTTTTACAAATAACAAATATTTATCTAGCTCAAACTCAAATATGTCAAACCTTACGCATCAAAATCCTCCCGACGCGGTCACAGTTCGCATCTCAAGGTCATGTATTTGGTGCGTCAAGTTCGCCGCCCGTAACAATTTCGCGAAATTCGGTTCTTTCCGCTTTGAAACATAGCATTTTTTGGGCGTAGAAAAATAGAATATACTCAGTTTACCTAGAAACTGGCCCCCAAACTATCTAACTAGGTCCAGTTTGTTCTAAAAATGCTGATAAAATTTCGTCCCATTGCTTTAACACAGGGCCGTCAGCTGATTATGCCCCAGCCACTAGTCATGACGTCACACTTCGGTTGCGTATAGGACAAATTCAACGCGCGAGCGCCGTGCCTGGCGCCGTGTGTGTTATGCGGCGTCGCGACACTGTGAATAAATATATCGGAAAAGTTTGAAAAATTGCTGTAAGCTGGGGTGTTTTGGTTGAAACTTTTCCCAAAAAGTCGCTCTTTTCAAGCCAATCATGGCTGACGTCTTGGATATGGAAGATGTCGAAGAGTTCGAGGTGGACGAGGAGGGAGACCGTGAGTTTCCACGCATCACAATCACGCCCAGTGCAAGTGCCTAGGGTGGCTTCTTTTAGCTTTTTGGATAATACGTTAATGCTTATTTTTAAATGAGTGCTAAATGCTGCACCATACCAGTAATACTAGCTTTAAAGCCATTCCAATCAAATTCCGTTCATGGTGAACGTCAGCCCGGTCTGTGACTGGATTTTGGGGGCTTAAAGGAAATAGTTCTCTTTTACCATGGGGTTTCGAATTAGAATAGCAGTTTTATAGCTTGAGGTGAGACTAGCACAAATCAGAAGCTTTTATGGCCCAACGATCACCCTAGGGCCTAGACTAAGATATTCCATTTCTCATTCAGAAGTGCCTTGCAAGTTGCAGAGGAATCAGAATGCATGCCTTGCTGAGGAATGCAGCCACGTCATCGTCATCCAATCAGCATGCTGCTTACAGCCAATGGGTTTCTTCTACACAATATGATTGGTCAATGCGTAATAATGCTTCCGCATCAAGCAATATTAGGCGCAATATACCATTCCTACATTAAAATATAGAAAATGATTTCTTTTATCAGCAGGTTCTATGTTCTTTCCTGATCATTTTGAGCAGAAAAAAATCATAAATCCATTGCAAAAAAAAAACAATTTTGAGAAAGTGGACTATCCCTTTTAACACTGGTTCATGTGCCCTTGCGCAGCATCTGTAACTTAAGAAGACTTACAATTCCCCTCACTTAGATAATAATATTCTGAATGTGATAAGGAAAATTAAAGATAGCTTTGAATTGCATAGTCTGGTTTAAGGAAGTTGATAACAAGAAGTTTTGAAATATAAAAACTGGATGCCTTTTCTGGCTTTCACTGGCTAATGCCTTTGGCTACCACTCTGTTGGATGTGCCAATGCAAATTATAATCTAGCAAACCTAAGTAGAATGGAGTTGAAGTTGAACTTTAAACATGTGTTTGCCCTTCAATTGCATAGTTTGGAGAAAATCCATAGAATCTGTGAAAGCTGTGAAAAAATGTTCTGAGATAAATTGGAGGTAAATATGAAGGCTCTTGCATCAATGGCAGTTGCACTTGAACCCAATTATTTCTTAGGGATGCCAGGCTATAATAAAGGTTTTGCATGCATTAGAGTAAGTGGATTATTTGACCTACACATAACACTAGGCATTTCATGTAATTTTCTTGAATATGAATTATGTTATGCTTGATAACTAATTATTATTTCAGTGTTCATTAATTCAGATGCATCTTATGACTAATGTAATACGAACAGTCATGTCATGAATTCTTTGATTGTTCAGAATCCTTTTGAGGGGTATGCTCCCCACAGGATCCCTAACCACCATTCTGGATCTGCCAATGAACAGGAGAGAATGTCGCCCTGTACTCGCTAACCTATTGCTGTTTACTGTCATTTGATGTGCTGCTGTCCTTATGCCATCCTATTTACAGAGGGTATGAGTCATTCCCCCTCTCCAACCTGTTCACAGAGGGTATTGTGAAGCTGAAGGAAAAGGCGCGGAAGCGGAAGGGGCGCGGCTTTGACGGCGAGCGGGCGGCTCGGAACGACACGCGCCACCGCGACTACGAGGGTGTCGAAGGAGACAACGACGGCGAGCCGGGGCCGTGCCGCTGTGAGTGGCCGTTGTGGTCAGACGCTGTTAGCTAGTCTGTCCGGAGGCGTTGGGGAGCTGTGGAGAGGAGCAGGGGGCTGCTGATTTATGGGTGATGTATTGATGTCTGGTGGATGTGGCGTGAGGTGTTGAACTGAAGTTCAAAACTATTAATTGTGGTAGATTCGTTATCACTCCAGAGTCCAGAGGACGGCAGTCCAGTGAGCGTTGTGCTGCTGTTTCCAGCGGTGGAGGGCTGGATCCTGTTTGTGACCGGTGTCCACGAGGAGGCTCAGGAGGACGACATCCATGACAAGTTCGCCGACTTTGGCTCCATCAAGAACATTCACCTCAACATGGACCGGCGTACTGGTTTCTTAAAGGTATGATCGATCGTGGACAGTTATCGAACGGGGTTTTGCTCGCTGATACGTTTTCGCTGATACGCTGGCTTACGTTGTACTGCTTGTAAATTTTTGCTTATTTGGTGTCACTTTTATTTGTGCTAACGACGCATCGTGTTCAATTGTCAGGGTTACACGCTCGTCGAATACGAGACGTTCAAGGAGGCCCAGTCTGCCATTGAGGCCCTGAATGGCACGGATATTCTCGGCCAGACCATTAGTGTCGACTGGGCGTTCGTCAAAGGACCGAAAAAGTAAGTGTCGATACAAATAAAACCTGTTAATTTCTCTGCGCCCGGCAATTTAAACCCCAGCTAAACTCGCCTGCATCAGTGTTGCACACATTAGGGAACTCGATGAAACTAAAATTAACTATAACTTAGAACTCTACCGCAGTTGCTCATGTGTTTCATAATATTTTCCAGAATTGAAATAAGTAGGATTGTATTTTATTCGTTTCCATTTCTTCTCAGCACCCGTTCATTCAGCACTGGTCAACATTGTGTTTCTAGATTTCGAACGTTGAATTCCTATCGCAGCCTGATTTTCCAGAAGGCTTTGACATTGATTTTTGCGTGTGATGTCGCAGGGTTCGTCGGGATCGCGACCGGAGGCGCCGCTGAGCGGCCACCCCCGGTACGTCAGTCTCCAAGGTCCGTCGGCAGAGGGCAGTGGGTCCCTTTCGCCCGCCCGTATGCTCGTGACGGCTGCGGGAGCTGTGTTAACAATTTTTGGTTTTGTACACGTGACTTGAAGCAGTGTGCGCCTGCTACCCTCGCTCATAGCTCTCCATTCATACGTGATGCACAGACGTAACACAATACACGAGTTCATCTTGTCAACCGAGCTTTTTATTTCGGCATGAACGGAAAGAATGTGACTGTGAGTGCGGTTGCCTTTCTGAGCGCGACGTCTTGCCCTAGTCCGTTTCATCAGTGAAATATAAGTGGATAGATCAACTCACCGTATGCTGATTTTGCCCTTCCCTCCAGACTGACCCAATGGCCGTGCGGCACGCGTCCATCCCGCTCGTCATCGACTTTCCCTTCATGAGTGCTCGAATTTGCCTATTTTACCACTTACATTTCTCGAATTCGTGTGATAGATGCTGCCTTCCGATCAGCAGATGTGGAAAAACGCTACATCCTCTGAAGGGCATGTAAAAGTGATCTTCAAATCGCCTGTTCAGCAGAAACGCGATAAACAATCTTGAATAAAATAAGTGAAAATTTAATCTATACAATTGTTTCGTTTCGTATTACCCCGTTTTATCATAACGTTGCTGAACCGTAATCATGTACGTACACATTTGAGTGAGTATATCACCGCAACGCAACATCCCCAAACCAGACCATAAAATAAAACCTTGCACTGCGTATATTTGTCAAAAATAGCATACGATTCAGCCCAAAAGGGCATGCACGGAGTGGACGGAATGGGTTTACGGCACGTGGCGGAATGCCGGACGGAATGTAGACATGACTGATGGAATGCGATCGCGGGAAGCTGCGGTCAGCCCTCCGCTATCTGTGGCACTATGATTGTCGACATCGCACGGAAATACTATGAACAATTATGTCCCAATGCTACTGTTCTACAATAAAAGGCACTTTCTACACGATATACTCACTAACGTCTTATCAATCACATCGTTTCGCGTCGTTTTTAGTTTGACACAGCTGCAGCATTTGTAATGAGATTCGCGGCACGCCTCACCAACCCGATTCCAGCGACGACAAACTAACACGCTGGTGGTGGCTGACGTATAAAAGACACAATAGCATCGTTATCGTTAGTAGACCCAGCCATTCTGTTAACGAAGATCCACTCACAGCATGGCGAAAATACACCCAACCTCCATGGCCGTATACACAAAACCACAAACAAAATGCCTCTCAGATTCAATGCCGCAATGATAATTACCTTCACGCTGGGTGTTTCTACCCTGTTGGAACTCAGCCGTTATCTAAAGCAGGCGGTAGTATGCGACATCAAAAGCGTCAAAATGCGACGGGAAGACTGGGATCGCTTGTAAAAGGAAGACTGCACAGTTCATCTGGGCAGCGAGCAGTGCAGAGTCGCATATGGTCCGACGAAGCTAGTCTGCTCTCTATCCACCGTCCCATACTCTCGAATCGGTGTTCTATTCTTAAGGCAAAACAGGCGAGCAGCCGAAGAGCCCACCTGGTTCAAACAGAGGAAGCGTCACCGTCGCCGTTCGATCAGATCAAAGTGGTCTCATCCGGGTGCGGCCGGCGCGGCTCAGACCGGGCGTTGAACAGCTCGCGGATCAGGCTGGCCTTCTCCCGCTCCAGTGCGGTGATCCGCTCCGACCTCTGGGCCACCTCCTGTTGATGGAGAGGGGAGGTGTCACGGGGGACGATGCGAGAGTGACGAGTGTGGTATGGATAGAAGGGCGGCACAAATGAAAAATGGTCCAGGGGGATGTCACAATAGAGCAAAGAGCCGGTTTCACGATCGGTTTCTCCCATGACTGAATCATGAGAGCTAACATTCCGGTGCTCTTCCCCAGCCGCCCCAGCTGTCAGTTATACATTGGTCCCAAAGCCCTTCCCCATCGCAGCACAACCAGCCCCACCTCTACTTATTTATTGAGCGTTCAGTTTTCACAGGCGGACCCGACCACGGCCCACCCAGAGTCAGTAGGAATTTCCATCCCCACCCCAGACCCACCTCAGTCACGCTCAGTGTCCCGTCCTGTCCCCACCGCTACCCACCTCCGTCAGCTGGGTGTTCTGGGCGCGCAGTCGGCGCACGGTGCGCTCCGTGGTCGGTGACGTGGCGGACGGAGCCGGTGCTCCCCCGCCCGCTGCCACCGTCGCCGCCGCCGCAGCAGCGGGTCGGCCCGGGCTCAGTGCCAGGTTCATGTGCAGCGGAAAGCCGCGGTGGGATGAGTCGATCAGAGCAGACAGGTGCTGGTTCACCTCGTGAATGCGCGCCGTCTGGAAGCTGAGACGCTCCTCATTGGCGTCTGTGGTGTGCTCCTGTGGAGACGGGCAATGGGAGGTGGTAAGTACACATTGAAACAGACAGGCCAGGGAGACGGGGAACAACTGCCAGACTGGCCAGATAGGGAAGGAACAGCTCACAAGCCAGCCAGAGAAGAAAAAACACAGCTAACAAGGCAGTGCAGCGAAAAAAAAACTAATCTGACTGCACTTGAAAGGCATGCTAATATACGGCAGAGAACAGGGGGAAACTGAAGTCATTATGTTGCTGTCAATGGTATATAATCTATCGGGTACTTTGGAACACATGTGACATGGGTTTGGAGTTACAACTAGAGGTGGAAATGACTAACGTTTTCCAAAATCTTGACTAATGACTGACTAATGACTAATGACAATTTTCGTTGACTGACTTTTGACTGACTAATCTTTGGTCTCAAAAGGCTTGATTGACTAATGAATGACTAACGCCATTTTTCTTGATTTTGACTAATATTTGACTAAATTTCGGAATTTGTTAGCACTGCGTAAATAATTCCGATCGACACCGGAAAAACACAAATCGATCCCAAATTTTCTCCCTAATCATTTTATGGCCAAGGCGATGCGAAGCCACCGCAAGATATCTTGTCGGCCGCTACGACGCCTGGTTAGGGAGATAACAGGCGGGGAGGAGGGGGGGGGGGTAAAATTTATCCCCCAGCCGGGCGCATTCGGCCGGCGACCCCCAGTGGGGCGCGGGTTAACCCTCGCCCGACCCTGGCAGGGCATTTTTCGTAACGCGGCCTGGCTGGGGGGGGGGGGGGTCGATGCGATCCTTCTGGCGTTTCGAAACTAAGCGTCGTGGCGTTTCGCAACAAAGACCAGCGATTGGTCTCAACGAGTACTCGCGATTGGTGGTATATTTTTACCATGGGTCAATATTTGACCCAGTTATGACAGGTCATTGGTCAAAGGTCAAATTTCGTGGAAAAACTATAATTTTCCAAATTACTTAGCAAATATTGGCGAATTTATGAAAGATAGCGTCATGAAACTTTCACGAACGCGTTTCGCAACGAATTAGCAACAAAATGAGGAATAGTTGACTGCATTTCAGTCATTACTGGCGTGACGTATTCCCCGGGAACATGGGAGGCCACGCCCGCCGCTGGCGAGGACGTTTGCGAATATCGAGAGCTTTCCAACTAATCGAGTCAACATTGGTGCGTCTATGAAAGATAGAGACTTGCAACTTCGAAGAGCGTATTCCTCAGAAGAGCGTATTCTTCAGCTGCAAAATTACATATTGTTGACTTTTTATGACTTTTTATGGTGATAAAAAAGGCTTTCAATGACGTCACGTACCACGGTACCTGGCCCAAAAAGCCGCAAGGCTATGCTCGCTGACCGGCAGCAGCAGCGGCCGCCCGTCAACCGGAGACCTGGGGAAGTGGGGAGTTCACTGCCACTTGTAGGAACAGTTTTGAAGGCGTTTAGGTGGAAATTGAACCGCAGAATTGGATTCAGGACCTCAAGAAACCCCACTACGGACACTAAACACAGCTCATATCACGGAGGTCAGCGTGTGAACATGCGAGATCATCTTGGTTGACCTTAGAAAGGTCAATATACAATGTAAAGATCATGTCCAGTCAAATTCTGACATAAACCACACGGAATAGCTTCGTTCTTGTCGATGAGATCACGTCCAGTTACGGTATGTACGATTTTGTCAAAAACGGTCGTAGGTTGTACTTATTATGACGTCATAGCTCGGTGAACTGACATGACCCGATTTTTTTTTTGTCTAGCAAAAGTTGTGCAAAGGATACCCCAGAGGCTATTGAAAATTTCAGCACGATCCGACTAATAGTTCAGCGCGCATCGCAAAAAAAAAACTCAGGGGGGGGGTCGCATCGACCCCTCCCCTGTCAGGGCGAGGGTTAAGTCACCTCACGAATCACGACAAATTAGTCGACTAATATGCAACAAAATCATTGACTTATGACTGACTAATGACTAACAAACATTTTGGTTGACTGACTTTTGACTGACTAAAAAAGTGCTTGACTAACGTTAGTCGACTACTTTTTGACTAATGACTAATATTCATTTCCACCTCTAGTTACAACGGCGAACAACGGCAGTACAACGTTACTCAGGCATGCGACTTACACTGGGCTGGTGGGCGCGTCCCAGGCCGAGGTACTTGGCGCGCTCAGAGACGGCCGCCAGCTGGCGGGTGTACCAGTCGCGCGCGCGCTCCACCATCTTCAGACCCTGGGTGAGCGTGTCGCGCTCCTGCTCCATCTGCTTCATACGCTTCAGCTGCAAAAATATAGAGCGCAGACTAGGTAAGCAGCGGGCAATGAATAATGCACAATACGCGGATCCCAAAGCGAAGTGGAAGCACTATCATTTACAGCATTTAACATAAATGCCATTCAACGCAAAAAAATCATCCTTGCATAGGCAGAGACAGATGAATACAAATTATATCACTGCTTTGCGCAACGCCTCTAATTAAATAACGGTATTACAAGCCACGCTCACCATGTTATAATCGACGCCGTTCTGCAGTGTGTGTCGGCGCGGCTCCCGTTTGCGCTGCCCGGCCGTCTTTCGGGCCGGGTTGGAGGCTGTCGGCGCGGCCGGTGCCTCGTGCTCGGCCTCAGAGCTGGAGGGCGGGTCAGCCGGCGGCAGCACATCCCGTCCGTCACCGCGGCCCCGCTGTACGCGCTCCCGGTGCCAGCGCTGCAGCGCCGTCAGGATCTGGGTACGGCTCAGGTTGGCTGCTGAAGGTGCCGGCGGCGGCGGCGGGGCCGGACCGCCGACGTCCCGGCTGCGGTCGCGCGGCGGTTTGGGCGGCGGCTGGTCGCCCCCGGCGGCTCCACTCAGCTGCGGCATGCTCAGAGTGCGCTGCTGGCCGATCACCGAGTGTGGCCGGGCGGCGGGAGGAGGCGGGGGAGGCGCCGCCGCCGCGCCGCCCGACAGCTGGTCCAGGGCCGGCGCCGACGGCGGCCGCGGCTGCCGCTGCTGGGACTGCTGCGGCAACTGCTGCTGGGACGGCGGCGACGGCTGCTGCTGCTGCTGCTGCTGGCTGAGCGCCTCGGCGCGACTGCGCAGCAGACAGATCTTGAGACCGGCAACGAAACGCTCAAAGGAGAGCATCCCGCTGGCGGGCGTCACCTTGCGTAGACACTCGAGCACACCTTTGGGCACGTTGGCGCCCTCCTCCTCTTTCCATCGCTGTTCAATGTCTGCGGGCAAACGGCGCAGTTAGCACTCACTAGCAGAGCCGCAGGTAAAACAAAACATATCGATCCACATGTTTTGTAGATCGATGGAAAACATTTGCACGTCTGATCCAGCGATCCATCTCCGACATAACAGACATTTCCGATATATGTTATGTCGGAGATGTATACGTGCATCTCCGGCATAACAGATGTGACACACGCTTACGTACGGATATTCCTTACTTTTCCAGAAGCACCAACTCTACATAACGAGAATGTCACTTTTGTATACCTGAAAGTGCCAGAGATAATTCCAAATATTGGATCATAAAGTGTTATTATGCCAAATTAAGTGTTTAGTGTGCTTAGTAAACGGAGCAAAATTCATAAAAAGTAGCTCGATAACTGGTGCAAAAATTGTCATGCAAGGGTTGCTATGAACAAAATGAGAATCCCACCTGAGTAGTGCACGAAGCCGGTGCGCTTGTCGTCCATGATATCAAACAGCGTTCTCATCGAGTCCACGAAGACCTTTGGAAGGGCGTCCAGAGGCTTCGCCTGGCCCCCTTCTCCGCTGCTCACCGACATCTTGCTCAGGATCCGGCGACCACTTCAACACACTGACAGTCTGTGGACCGAAAATCGGACAGCACCAGGTGTGATCAGGCTTCATATTGCATGCACACGTCGCATTCATTTACATACGCTTGACTTGACTACAAGGACAGACAGTTATCAGTGGTTGGTAACGTAGTTTTTGTCGTTTACCTTTCCACGTGCTAAATAGGTGTGAACTGTTTATTTTATTCCCAGAGCGGTGCGAGTTGAAGGACGACATGCTATCTATCGGCCGTCACAGGACAAGGACAGGACCATGCCGTATGGATTGGAGTGCTGGGTCCAGCAACTGCTCTGCTGCAACGCACTTTATGCATTCATGTAGACACGAGCTGCAAGATGTAAAGGCGGACGATTAACGATAAATTTATGGAATAAATGCTGGGCCAGCTGATGGAAAATCATAAACGGGTGTGTTATAAATTTCCTGCATGCTGGTTCTCAAATTATCAATTATCATACAAGTCCTCCGAGTTTGCTTGAAGAAGTCAATCCAATGGCCATCATCTACCGTTGGTAAAAGCAATCTCCTCTGGGTCTCATTTACGCCATTCAGTTATTATCGGCAGATATGCAACTCTAGTCTCAGTAATGATGGAGCGGAACTGTAGTCGTGAAGACAGCCCAACGACCGCTACACGATAACACCTGCGAATCCGGTGAAATGAAAACTGAAGGCTTTATTTTTTCTTAACTCCGAGCACCCAAAGATTGACTACCCACTCAAACATCAAGCAGACAACAGTGGAAAGGCTCGAGGGTTTTAGGTGAGATCAATGTGGTCCGCCTTCACGATCGTGTCAAGGACCACTCCAACGAGAGCGCGAGCCGCGAAGTTACTGTTACTCCGGCCACTGGATGTGGGAAAAGTATCGTCGTATTAGTTCAAAACCAGACTGGCTCATGTCCCAGACATTGGGATTTGACTGGAACAATAGTCCAATCCCAGCAGCCTCTCTGTTCGACAGCAGGAAGACTCAGATAAAGGTTAATGGTTGTGGCAAAGTCACACTGAAAATCATAGGCGCGGGAGCCGGGGGGGGGGGGGGGGCAGTGGGGGCAGCTTGCCCCCCAACTCTGGGGCCGTGGGGGCGGTGCCCCCACAGTTTTGAGACGGAATACGACACTTTTTTTGCAAATGTCTTCTTTTTTTGTTGAAAAAGCAGAGGGGTGAAAAATAAGTGGCCTAGAACCGGTGAGAAAACTAGATTGGGGGGTACCCTAGGTTGATCTCTATTATGGTGTGCTCCCCAGTCGGAAAGTAGTTCCCGCGCCCCTGCTGAAAATCCACCATTTAATCAGCTTCTGAGCCCATTTAAAATCTGAGTTTGAGAGGCAGAGATGACAGTTCCGCTGCCTCAGCACCAGTCCCCTAGCTGTCCAAGCTCAATGGTGTAATTCCTATTTCGAACTGCCAGTTCGCCACACGGCTAACGTCCTGTCCTCCTGACCGTGAATGTACTGTGAAACTGTGTCGATACCCAAACCATCAGACCCATTACGGGGACAACGCGCCACTTCATCAAGACGCCTCGGCGTTCCCTGGTAAACCAGAGACCATCAGTGTTGTTCCTGCCTCGCCTCATAGGGTCGCTGGTTCGGTCCACTAGCTGACTACGTTACGGGTTCGCTGCGCGGAGGCGACACTGGCCATGGAGGCATGGATGTCATCCATCAGCGGCAGTCACTGGTGCAGCTCTCTCCCAAAGCGTCGGCAGAGATAGAACTTACATGATGTGCTTGCATAAATGAGATGTGCTGTCGCATCTACAGTATACACAAGTTGGGCAAGAAAACAGACAAGAAAGAGCAATCATGCAAGCAAAACAACAAGCCAGAATGCTCAATGCAATGACCAAAATGTGTGTTAAATGATTTGGATTGTGTGTGCAAGTGTACAGTGTAAATGTGCGTAAACCATGATGAAAAAATTCAAAATTAAAAGCTTCACTAACTGATGACCTCGTATACTTAGCACTTACCACATAAAAACAACGGAGAAAAAATAAATGCGGAATTCTACAGGAGTTCTTTAGGGCTCTCTCTATCGTCTGGAGGTTTCGAAAGATGCTCTCCAGAGATGGCGCTAGTAAATTTGGCTGACATGACGTCATGCTAAAAAGTGATGGGTTTTGTGAGAGCAAATGTAATAATAGTTGAAAATTTTGTACTTTTGCTTAATTAAGAAAAAATAAATATACAATTGTTCAAAACAGCGTTTTCCTCATTCATCCTTCATTGTTTTAAGAGGAATATAGACAGTTTAAATATTTTTTCTTGACCGCAATTCGCACACGCACTAAATTAAAAGCTGGAGTTTTGTGCGTTCGTAAATCGTGATTTGAGAAAATAAGTTGACAATAATCTTTTGCACTTTTGCTTTACAATCATTTTTCAATGCAGATAAATGCATAAATTATTCGAAAATAGGCATATCTTTGAAATATTATGATTTTCCACAAGCAAATTTTCCCAAAAACTTGAACTACTTACAACTGACGAACGCATCCAATAATCTGGATGTCTTAGGATGAGTTCGTCATTTTTTCCCAAGGAAATACGATACAGTTCAAGCTATTTTACCGATTTATTAGGGTACTTTTGCCAATGAAGTAATAAATAAATGACAACAATTAATCTCATTATCAACCATACTCGGAAGAATTTTCTTCGCATAAGCGCGAACACATCCGCGCTTTCATGAAAAGTCACGCCTGTAGATGTCAGGACTGCTGCTTTATGTTTCGCAAGGTGGCGCAGCGCGCAGGGTACTGACTACCGAGGCTGAGGTCTCCAGACTCTCCACCACGATTTAACTTGGAAATGGCCGATGGGGAATGTCTCACCCAAAAACGGACGCCCTTTTACACAGCTGCATAAAGAGAATGAATTATTGGCATAGCTGACCACACGTCCCCTCCCCCTCTCCGCCCCAGCTCAATAGGAAATGTCGCCTATTTTCCTTAGTCAGTTATATTCTGACTAATTTCTCACTCTTCCCAGTAAACCTTAACATGCATGATGCAGATGTCCACTGCGTAAGTCGTGTGCTTCCGTAAGTGTGCCAACTATATAGTGTTGCCTTCACTCTACAGTACAGCCTACTGCTTCCCCATTGTCGTTATAATTGGTGATTCTCAGGTCAAAAGTTACACAGTGGTCTCAGAGAACAATCGTTTCAACAAATTAACGATTCAAACCGTTGCATTCTACTTATATTCCGGTCAGTTCTGCTACTAAACGATTCCGGCAAAACACTCTTTAGGTTATGTATTAGCGAACCACCACCCAAAAATCGCCCAATCAATGGTCAGTTATTACTGCTGGGCTGAACCGTCATACGCTATATAGCCTATTGCAGTCAATATTTTCAGAACGATACTGACTGACGAAACACAACGTATTCGCGGATTCGCACATACGTTGGCACCCAGGTGGCCTGTCAGCAGCCGCACAAATCCGCACAGCGCAGCCGGGATTTGACATTGAGATGGTACACCGTAAAGCATGCCTTTCCACACAGGCACAAGCACAGGGACACAAATTCTCAAAATCCAAACTTATTCCAATACTGGTCAATTACGAATAGGCATAAAGTTTTGAGGTTTTCTCATGTTCATTCTTCTTTCAACACACGCGGCAGACTGCAGCAGCTGCAGAACATCTCACAGAGCTGCGCTGGATGCAGTCATGAGCTGGGACACGGTTTGTGACCAATGACCGATCGGGGGTGCCAGCCTCCTCCCGGCACGCGATGCACTGGCCGCCGCGCAGTCGATGTCGGGGCACCGCCGGCATTCGCCGACAGGGTTCCATCCGATTCGGTGTATTGGTGGCAGCCCGAACAGTGACCCACGCGAAGCTGGCGGACGTCGATGGCCGATGAGCGATGCCCTTCCGCGACCGGCAGTGGCAGTCGGTCCCACATCAAGAACAGATACCAGTCATGCGGTCAGTCGGCGACGGCGCTGTCGCGAGCCGATCTGATGGTCGCGCGGTGGGCGTTGCCGACGTCCACCGGGACCGTCGACTGGGGGAGCGCGGGCGCCTCTTGGCCGCCGCCTCTGGTCGGCGAGCTCGTTGCGCTGTGGGACGGCATCCACTGCAAGTCGTTCACTGTGAAGCGGTCGTTTGACCGGACCTGGCAGGCGGGGAAAGGGGGCCTCAGATGAAGTAAAACCATCCCTCAGGCCAGCTTGAACTGGCTCTCCACCTCACCATGTTAGATAAGCGGACACCCTCGTGATCATCGCAGCGATGATTGCCAATTGGTGTGTCATTATGGGAGAGGATGCCAGCCTCCTTTGCAAGATAGTCTGCCTTTAATATAGTGCAGCCCGACCCATTGCCTGTGGCGCAGACTGGGCTTGATAATGCAGTGCAGGACACACCAAACGTAAGCGGCCATCTGTACCCCTGTGCAGTAGGGCTGACTCAAGAGCCCAGAGTTGCCCTCCCCCCACCATTCTGTGCACGTGATAACTGGATGGGACATGCCATGGTCAGCATCTGTTCAAAAGCTGCCCTAAGCATGTAAAGCTCCACTGGCATGCTCAAGCATGGTCACAGTCAGTTCTCACTTCTCAGTTGAACCTCCAATGGAAACCCATCACAAAGTAGAGATCAGGGCGCCTCTCACACTGCAGCACACTCAACGACTGAGGCACCATCTCATCACTTGCAGGTGGTTCTTGCCAGGAGCAATGCCAGCCACACACATCAGGTGATAGCAGCAGTGTACAACTGCAATCTACAAGCATCCATGTTCTTTCTGGTTTTCTCCTGTTGAGATCCGCTGCCATGCATGAACTTGATGGGCTTTTGTTGCGCTCCTCCCATGTGCAGACAGGTTTCTGCTGAAACAAAGCAAAGCAAATGTGATTAATAATGGCCCTGTTTCACCATCCAGACACTGTGTGCACTGGTAGCTACGGCATACCATAGCATCACTCAAATGACGTTGCATGTGATCTCTTAGTTTATGATCAATCGCGTTTGGAACAGAGTAAAAGGTTCTGAAAAACCATACCAAGAACAGAGGTTTGAGTTCAAATACTGCTAGCATGCTGCTGGTGCTGGTACCGCAGCATGCTAGCGTTCTGGGATGCTGTCATAGCTTAGCGTCACAGTGAAGTTTGTTGACACTGCCATGGAAACTCAATGCTCTGACACACGCAGCGCACTGCAGTGCTGAGCACTGCAGTGCGTGATCTGCCGTGAAACACCACCCATGAACGTTGGTTGCATGACCAGGATGGAGCAGTGTGGCAGACAGTGATTTTAATTTTAATTGCACTTCCTAGAGATTAAAATGTTGTTGGTGAAATTGATATTCATTATTCCTATTACCATTGTCTAAATTTCACATTTCAAGACAGCATCAGCATTGACATGTTATATAAAATAAGGTTTAGACTTCAGGTGGTCCCAGGTTCAGCTATTAAGTAAAACAAGGGCAAAAAAATTGTCAAAAAAATATTTAAAAAAAAATACCTGCCTTCATCAACACCTCATCTAATCTAACCTCATCCTCATCTAACAAGGCCCTAAAAGCAAAAACCGTTTGAATAACAATGAGTTCAGTTTTTTTTTTTTTTTTGATAACAATGTAATATTTTGCAACCGCTGCACCATTACTGCAAGGCCCTATATACCAGGTAGGGTCGTCCGGCGATTCTACCTGGGCCCTGTTTCACCGGTGATAGCAGCACGCTGCTATCACTATCACGTTTCGCGAGCTGACGTCATGTCATGACGCCATACTGTTGACGTGATGGGCAGTTCCGGCGCACGATTGCCGCGACCTTGGCCGCGGCATTAAGTGACGTATGAGCCTTTAAAAGTAAGAGTTTATGCAGTCATGATAGTATATTTATTTTCAATATATATATTTTTTTAATATGATGTATTTAAAAAAAAGTTGGTTTTAAGGAAAATTTGGACGTTAACTTCGAACATTTAGTTGATGACGTAAAACAATATTGCGGCAATCGTGCGCCAGAATTATCCCTTACGTCAGCAGTATGACGTCATCACATTACGTCAGCTCGCGCAATTTGATAGTGGCGTGCTGCTATCACCGGTGAAACAGGGCCCTGATCGTGACATCAGCTTGTGACGTCATCTGGGGGCAAGTCTTGAAGCCCCGTTTGAGTCCCATGTAAATGGGCGATTTTTGAAGCGCTGTAGAACAAACTCTGTTGGAGCTAGCACAAAACTAAGTGCTTCATCGGAAAGACGAGACATTTTTCTTTGAATTATCTAAGAGCGGTTTTTCACTACACCCATTAGTTTTTCCGAAAATGCGTAAAAAAGCCCCCATGCCTCCGCAGCCTCCCTTCCGCCGGCCGCTGCGCCGCCGCGATAGTGTAGTGGTTAGGATGCTTGCACCGTGATCCAAAGGTCGTGCGCTCGAATCTAGGCGCGGGTCGGACTCAAACCGAAATTGCAAGCAGAATATGTGTTTTTTCCTTAAAAATCACTTATATTACAGCTAACCGTTCATAAAACTATCGATAACAATTGACTGAAAGCCAAAATATAGATAACATTCTTATAAAACAAATTCAAATATGGCGGCCGTTGCGCTAGGCTCCGCCCCCGACTCCGCCCCTTCGTGTGACGTCATCTATGCACTTGGACACACAGGGAGATAGGGGACGACATGGGCCTGCATTACTGTCACGTACGCTATCACGGTCGTCAAGTTAGATGTAAGTGAATCCTAATCTATAATCTAAGATTCGGAATCAGGTGAGCCCCTACGATTTGGACCAAACTTGGTCAGTGGATAGTACGTAATGTCCTGATTACGATGCACTCAAAATCTAAGCTCGGCCCGCCATATTTACGAAGTTACGGATGATTGAATTTC